GCAGATAAATCAGATAAATCAGCGGTTTTTAAATATTAATCTAAGCTTCCTTTGTTAGATATGAACCAATATATACATTTTTATTAAGTTATTTTTGTAATAATGGCTTTTTTCTTATAGCAACGTTTTTATACTCACCTTCATGACAACTTTGAGATAAAACGAGGAAAGAAAGACAAGAATCTTGAAATGGGTGTTTATGCCATCTCCAGTTTTGTGTTCCATTGTTTTTCTTCGAGAAATAACACAAAAAGTTCGGTTTAATTGTGCAAAACGCAGTTATATTAAACCATTCTCAAACAAAAGTGTTAACACTTAAAAAACAATGGAGGGAAATACACGAACATATACATTACCATCAGCGCTATAATAGGACACTGTATGTGAAATTGTAAATGTGATGTGCAGAAATAATTACATGCTTGCGCCATCTTTGAAACACAGAACTTTTCGAACACTGGCTTCCATTTTAGGAGACGGACACCCCCAGTTGGTGTCAACAATAATAAAGGAAACCTCACAGTGTTATTGAAGATTCAGATTTGCTTCCTGGAATGTCATGGTACATTCCAGAATTCTGAGTTTATATTGCTAAAATTACACACCAGCAGAATCCAACAAACACTTTACGTGTACAACAGTAAATAATAAAGACAGATTTCAACTTTTTTACACAGGCTGTGAAGAAAGAAACAAATGAGACAAATGCATCAAGACAAATCCCGTGTCAATTATGTAATGAAGGCTAATGCAGAAGCTGTGTTTATGGTAATGTAAAAGTATATTCAAGAATTCCAAATGGCAGAAACACCGAAGTTCTCCATTCAAGGCTCGCATCTTTCTGGACAAGTTTGCGACAAAGCAACGATAAAAAGATTTCAGGACTTTAACTACATGTTTAAAGAGCATGAACAGCTCAAACGGTGTGGTGGCAGGAAAATCTCTTGAATAATTATGCAACAACCAAATAACGCTTTGCATTAACAACATTTTGTGGCATGTGCGCGTATATACACATATAGTACATACAAAAATAAATAATACTTATCTGTATGCCAACATGCATTCTTCCGAAAAAAAAAAGAAAAAATAAAGAAACACTTATGAAATATTCCTCAAAGTTGGGAGTACTATTGAATACTGCCTCGTGATTGAAAGGTGCTGAGAAGGTCAGGAGTAAACAATATACCTGAATAGCAAGCCTGTACAAAAATTTATACGGCGCCTTAAACTTTGTTATGTTGTTATATAAACTGTACAACATTTTTAAATAAGATAGCCTTACGTCTGTTTTTTATACCCTAGGAGAGTTCTCATAAAAAAAAGACTCAGTTGGTACTTTTTGTGCAATATGTTGCTCGGCGCGATTTTCTAGGAGGCTAGCGGTTGTGGGATTATATAGACTTTGTATTAGAATGGTAGGTGCGTAGACTGGGACATGAGAAGTGAGGCTCGAAATATTTATTTGTGTTGATTTGTAGCTACTTAAAGCTGGATATATCTGAAGCGCTTGGAAACTTTGACACTTCAATGTCATGAGAATTCTCTGTGTCACTGCCCTATGTACAACTGTAGAAGGAATATATATATATTTATTTATATATATCTATACTACGTTCATTAGAAAATTTTGACAGGACTGCCATGTTTTAAGCATTTGAGCATGTACAGGCTTTCAGTGTAAATCACATCACTACAGCTACAGGAAGTCGGGTGCATCATACCTCTGGTCGTGAAATGTAATGGCTGAAACAGCATGGGTTCATACTCCCATCATTAATACTGCATAAATACGACCGTATATTACACTCATATTTTAGCGTTTTTTTTTCATATTACATTTTACAATAGATTACCGACTTCTCCTGGACAGCAGCTTGGTTGCTTCAGCAAATCATGAGGTACATATTATATAGCAAAGTAGAGCTAAAACTGTTAAGCAATTATATAAAAAAAACATAAACGAATGTTTTAAGTCAGAAAATAATTTCAAAGATTACTTTTGGCCACATTTTTAAACGCATTTTTTCACTTGTAGTGCAAGTTGTTTGATGTTTTAACTAAACAAACCCAACAGAAATAGTACACTTTTGGTGTTTTAATATTAGTTTATTTTATGGTATCAAAATTTGTTGTTACTGAACAAATCTTGCGAATGAACGTTGTTTGCATAACTTATTTCACTGTCAAGAATAATTAAACGGTGCCCAACGCAATAATTGAGCTTTTAGAGCAACACAAAAATATTAACGCATATTTGGTCATGTCAATACTGGTATATGTTAATTTCTTAAACCTATCCTTCAATGCACAAATTCATACAATGTTAGAAATGACACGTCCAAAATGACAATGTGCAATGCATAAATCATGACTAGAAAATATAGCATAGCAAGTTCCATCAGCATCATAATTCAGTGATCGGTCCATTCAAATCAAAACTAGAATTATATAGCTTTTAGGCCAGTAAATTATGCTCGGTCCTACTCCCAGCATTAAGTTTTAGGATTAATGAAGCACTGAAGCTCTGTTAGCTGAACTAATTTTAGGTAATGTACAACTACTAAAATAGATAGATACAGGAAAGACAGTTGCAAACAGGTAACATGGTTCTATGTGCTAAGGAAGGCAATCATGTTTCATTTCATGCTTAGAAGGGTATCATGTTGGGCTAGTTCTTGATGGGTCATGTAGTTTGTTATGGTACAGGTAAGGCTTACACTGTATGAGCTCAAGTTGTACGCAAACGGTTCATATTACAAGGGTCTGGTAAATGAAAATAATACGAAGAGAAGGCATGACAATAAAACATTTGTCCATACTACAATAGTGCTGCAGAGTTGTACAAGAATGTGAACATGTGCATAAACGCTGCTGTGAATGTTGCCGCGATGACTTTTACACCCGACATACATGCAACATACTAAGGCGGAACCTCTTTTTATTTTTTGCTTGCCTGACACTTTCATATACATTTTAACTAAGGTTGTTTCTCAAACTTAGGTTGTAATATTATATGAAGTAAATACAAGTTAATCGCAGAATCGTCAACTATGCTAGATGCTAACATTAGTGCCTAAGTTATATGGCTAGATCTTTTGTGCTTCATCACCAAACTGATTTATCACATCACTTTTAGTTAGATATCCTTCATGCACATTAAAGGGACCCTGCAATAAATTTGATGTATTACTCATTATTATATAGAAAACGCTTTTAAAGAACCATAGTGTAAGTTCTAGAAAGAAGCCTACTGCTCTTTTTCTTCAGCAAATAAAGTAACCAGTCTGCCGTCATGCAAAGCCGTGGTATGCTGAAAGGTGTGCTCAACTACCATGGGACCTGAAATGCTAGACACGTCATATGCTGTCCGTCAATATTAGCACGATCGCCTTTTTTGTTGTTACTTTGCTCCTAGAATTTAATCGCTGTCACTAAAACAACTAGCATTGTGGAGAGTGGTCACCCAACTTTAAGGCCAAATTCATTGCTCGTCGATTTCTCGTCCCAATTAATTTGAAACAAAAGCACCGTCGTCATGTTCTTTCTATTTGTGTAGCGCAGTGTACAAACAGAAAACACTAAAGAAATTGAAACAGGAAACAAAAATTCAACACAAATTACCTCCCCCCTCTCCCAATGTCCGGGTTCTTCGTGAGAGTTTTAACTTTTCTTCGACTCGAGTGATTTCCAGCTTTGCTTTTCTCGGGAGTAATCCTACATGAGCTGCATAGCCTCGAAAGGACCACCACAGCGCTCGCATGCAGATCATGGGTGTCGCTTCGCTCCCATCGTTGGCTGCTCGGAGGTTCCCAAACGACATAACACAATTCAACTTTTCGTATTTGTAAATTGAAACTTGCAACAACTCTCTATAATCAACAATTTTACAAAAAGAATATTTTTCCTTGAAATTGGTGTCTTCGCAAATTTGGAATCAGCCCAAAATGATTACAGGGTCCCTTTAAATGAGAATATATTTAAGCGAATCACCAAACTTTTGCCTTTGAAAAAATGACATTTCACGCGACTTCCCATTACCGAAAGTCCTGCAAAATTTTCCTATTCGAAATTGACTTACAATTAGGTAGTATTTAAACACATTATTAAAATAAGCTTTTGAAAATTTTAGATTCACCAATAAAAAATAACGAAGTATGAACAGTTGAAGTCAGTGAGAAATAATCTTTTAATTTAATTTTAAAGTATCTCATCCTACTCATCAATGGCCATGGCTTTTAATTATGACCGTTCCATAATACAACATACAAAGTACCGAGGTCGCAGCTGCTCTAACTTCCAGTTGCTGTTAAAACAAGCTCCAGAGGAGCCAGCAACAAGAGCTCGCAATGTAGGGAAATATGTGAATTTGAACTTGCACTAAAAATACGACCTTACTTTGACCAGCGTACTGGACAAACTAAGTCGAGGTTGACTTTTGCAGTATCTTGACCCCAGTACGCTTATGTAAGTCTAAGAAGTCTGAAAAAAAAAATCTTCACACAAATATACACAATCACTTCTACATCAGATTCTTTGGTTTATGTCGCGAGCACTTCTGATAAAGTGCCAACGAATAAATGATGCACAGTAAAGGGTAACACAACTTTACACATTTGCAATTAAAAGAATCGTATCTCCCCAATGCCAAAAAGATAAGGGTGACGGTTGGTCAGTGTCTGGCAAACTTATTTTGACCTTCCTTCCCCTTTTCTAATCAAAACATATAAATAATTAGTCAGTGGCGTCACAAAGGGGGTGCGGGGGGGAAGGGGGGGGGGGAGGCGGACCGCCCCGGGTGCAGCGCTCCGGGGGGTGTCGCGGCGGGCGACGAGCGGAGGGGAGGGGGGGGGGGGGTAGGTGTTGCAGCGGGCGACAAGCCGGGGGGGGGGAGGTGGGGGGTGTCGCCGCGGGCCACCCTTGGGTGCCGCTGACCCTAGTGACGTCACTGTAATTAGTGACACAACACCACCAACAGAAAATCGTATCAGCATTCAGCATACCACATCCGACAAAATATCGCAAAAAAAAAAGGCGCAAGCATGTGCACCCCTTGCACGCAAGATAATTCAAGGACCTTAAAATCTGTAGCATCCGCGTAACTTGTTTTTGGCCTCAGCCCACTAATTTTCGCGGACCGTAGGCAGATTTGTACACCTCCTTCGAAATAATAGAGTAGTATACACAAGGGGAAAAAAAAGAAAGTAAAACGTATCAATGCGAGGGGATATCAAACAGTCACTACGAAGAAGATATCGCAGCGAATCGCGAAGGGTGCGCTTTTCTGTTCTCTCTATATCTCGTTTGCGCCATCGACGTCGCATATGTACATGTCAAAGCGGAGGGCATACCTTGCATTTCCATACAAGAGAAAAAGAAAAAGGAAGAGCGTTGCACGAATAGGCGCGTCGCGTCGTGGAAGACGCCCATACGCCTCCGGGCCCTTGCGGGGGAGCCATCACAGTGCTAGACGTGGTTGTAGGGACTAGGGGGCGGGCTAGAGCTGACGCTCTTGCCGAGCCCCGAGTCCGAGCTCGCGGAGTGCGTGTGGTCCTTGTGGAGTCCCTGGCGCTTGGGCGACACCGAGCGGCAGCCTGGCAGCAGGAGGGGCATCTGCGGCACCGGCGACGCGGTGGCACTTCGACTCGGCCGCGGGTCCGGCCGCAGGCGGGAGCCCTCCTGGGTTTCACCGGGGATCAGGTGGCCGCGCGGGTCGGGGGGGAACAACGGGTGGCTGTTAGGCCCTAGAAGGGCAGAGCGAAATCTAGGCCAACGACGCTGGCTCAGAGGCGACGTGATCAGTTAAAGGGGTACTCCGCCGATTTCTTCATGGTCCCCGATTTGCTTGAAATTTTGCTAAACTCGCCAAACAACATCGCCAAAATAGTATCCCAAATATTAGGTCAAAATAATTTTTTTCCACGAAGTTATTGAATTTACAATTTTGGTCCTCACCGTGTTTTTCAAACTGAGTCTCTACTGGCAACAATGAAAAAGTGACGTCATTGGAAGTGCAGGGGTTCACTCTTTGGACTGTAGAATTTGTTCCCAACTGATTCGAAGCAGTTTCATGGTGTCAAATGAATGCCTTGGAAGCTCGCTCCAGTCCCCGCGCTCCAGCACGGAACAAACGATTGGCATATTCTATTTTTTAGACTGCTCGCCCGACTGGCAAGCTGAACTTCCACTGACGTCACGGCCCTGAAAAGGGCGGGTATATTTGAATGTCTGTTTTTGCATCATTTTCATTTGCCGATTTCGCAATAACTATTATGAATTTCACGATACTAAATAGCATACCAGAAAGGGTAAAGGCCTGGGAGTCAGAAAATATAGTTAGTTAAGGTAGCTCAAAAATCGGCGGAGTACCCCTTTAAGCACGCTTTTCGTCACCTTTCTGAATCGTGCAAGTTCAACTCTCAGCTCTGAAATTCGGAGTCAATTCATGTTCCTCACAGTAATCCAGATTACAAAAAAAAAAAAAAGAAAAAGAAAAGAAAGAAGAAAGATATATAAGTATTTTTTTTCAATATTTTTTACTTGTTAAATTCTTATGGTGCTTAAATTAATTCACGTTCAATAAAAATAAACTTTAATAAAATATGGCCATTTGTACGTAGCCCAAATCTAATTTTACATTAAGAAAGAGACATGCGTTTTTTTCCGCAAATAAATAGACAAATAAATAAAGCTAAAAAAAGATAATGATACCCAGAAGCCGTGCGACACACAAGCTTACCCGAAGTAATGCACAATTGGGCGTCGGCAGCTACGAGTATACCTATCTTCACGAACGGTGTAGTAATAAAGAGATAATCTTCACTAAAAAATGTCCACCATTTTAGAGCATGATATTTATTCGAGGGCTGCCGAATAGCTTATGTTTAAGAATTCATAGAATCGCGAAATTCAATAAAATTAGGGGTACGTTCAAACGCTTGGAACAAGTTGGAAGTTTCACAGTAAGTGAGCCTTAGGGAAGCGGACAAGCCCAGGTGTTTTTCACTTTACGATTTGCCCGGCAGCCCATGAAAGCGGTCCAGCCGATATTTCAACTTCTGACTTTTTATAAAACGAGTGATTTTTTCGAATGCAAGTACAGAGCGCGACACTGTTAGCGCGAACAAGCGATCGCCGGTTTTTCCAGTTTTTCTCTGTGAAACCAAGGGGTGTCATTAAAGTTATCATTGCTACGAAAAGAGCTCATTAAGTTCTATATTGTAATCGATAAAATTTCGTGCTCACTAATACCATTTACAAGTAAAATGCGAAAATGCGCCGATGTCGTGTTCGCCCTAACAGTGTCGCGATGTGTACGCTCACTGGGCCCGTAGGTCCATCTCACGTCTTAGAGCTCATCGCATCAGGATTAAAACCATAGTTCTTAATTGTAGCCATAATGTATATAGCGACTTGCATTCCCGCTATAATAATGACAAGGTAAAACGAGCGTCATTTGCTAGCCCGAAAGCAACGATTCAACAAAATTTTCCGAAATCGCCCGAACATGCGCTGTTTCGCGAACGTTAACATCACTTCCTTTGACATTTAACTACTTAGGCATCATTCATATAAAAGTGCAGAAAAGTAATTTTTTTATCTCTGCCAGATTGCCAAGTTAATGTAGTCGACGGAATCAGCTTGCTATCTCGATTAAGAGCGCCGCGCGTGCATATACGTCGCACGCGCTGATTGGCCGAAAAAAAACATAATGTCATTCGATAGAAATTAAATTGACTTCGCCGTGTGGCCGATTAATCTACCATTGTCCCAGGCAGAAGGCTGGGATGGGAGCATTCACCTGGAAGTCGGGCGACAGGTACGACGATCCGAAAGACGGGGTGGTGAGCAGGGGCTGTGGCGACGGCAGCGAAGGTGTGGGCACACGCCGCTCGCACGGCGAGTTGCCCGTCAGGCAGCTGAACGAGATGCGGTACACCCGGAGAGGCTTCGTGCCGTCGTTGGAGCCCGTACTGCCCGTGGCTGCAGGCGGGGCGACTCCGTCAGTCGGGCTCTCAACACTCCTGCCGGCCTGGCTTTCCGGCGAGGCGTAATCTAGCCGAAGGCAACACTGAATGCTATAGCGATGGACGGCTCAAGCACCGGAGGAAGCGTGCCGCGATCGCGTATTCCGATCCGGAGATCGTTTATGATGAGGTGTGGCCATGTACTGACTCTCTATGCTCGGCGTCGACTACTTCGTGCTACATTGTCAAGGCCAGCCTGCATCCGTTGTGCTCCAACTGTGTCGAAGCTATTCTCGGCGTCTTTTGCTACGTCACCAAGGCTAGAGTATAGCTTCCACAGTGCTACAACTTTGTCAAAGCTATACTTCGTTTCAGCTTAAAAGGGTCACAAAACGATACGGGGCTGGAATGTTTATGATTTTGCAGAGGCGTACTGGTCCTTGTCTGGCCCAAGTGTACTCACACAGACCGCCACTGATTCAGAGGCTACTTTGTCGCGTGAAAACTGCGAAGATAAAAGGGACAATTTCTGTCAGTCTTGCTTTCGCAAAGCTTGATGACGTACGTGTGGAATCGAAACCGCCCGCCTAACGAGAGTCGAGCGCGGCTCGTGGATTGGACACGGGAACTGCGTGAGTGTTGGAACTCGGCTCCTAACAATCAATGCCTCGGTGGACACTCAGGGAGCGGCTCGTGTTCAACCGCTGCGGTTTCGAGAATAGCCAATCGGGAACAGCCCACTTTGACAACCCCAGCGCATGGGGTTGTCAAACTTCTGCTGGCGGCGACTGGCACCAGGTCACGTGGCCGCTTGTTCTAGCTCGGAGTAGAGGGAATGAACGATGCTAATTTTTCCCACTTTTTTTGGCGACTGCCATAGCCTACAAATAACCTCTTAGGCAAGTTTATTCAGTTATTAAGGTTAGAGGGTGATTCAAAGTAGTATTCAGCGAAAGTAGAAAACTTGTCTCACGGCTCCTTTACGTCCAGAGGCAGCCGACGCTACGAGCTCATGAGACAAATCAAACAGCGTCAAAAGGGCAAATAGCTGGGCCTTTTCTGTTTATGATTGGTTATGCGATGATAGAACACGTACATAAACATGACGAACACCACGATGCGGTGCGCTTTCAACGCTCTCTGATTGATGCCCTCAGCTCGTAGGGTCGGGACGCAAGATAAAGCCAAGTACTTTTACAACAGCGCGGGGCTTAAGCGCTGTGGACGTTACGCTGGCTTTGGCAATGACAGCAAGAACTAGTTGACGCCGACTATGGTCAGTGAGTATGATGAACACCTGCTGGATTACAAGGCCCTACTGTTGGATTCTCTACTGCTCCTATCGGAGTTCAGTGCGGGGCACAGATCGTGTACCAGTGCTACGCCACAGTTCGGCATGCGCCTCGTATTGGCGCTAGGGGTGTTCCGATAATGGTTCGAATGAAATAGCACTGCCTTTTTTGTAACCGCCACAGTGCAAGAAAAAGACAAGACGTACCGGCTTTCTCTGCGGAGCAGAAGGTAAAGGAATGGTAACGTACCATTCCATTCGAAGTATTATTCGCACGTTCTTAGAATTGTCGCCGAGCAAACAAAAGAGTACCAGCAGAACGTCCACGCAGCACTCTGTACAATCCTGTGTAACCAAATCGTAGTTTTTTTTTTTTTTTTGGAGGGGGGAGGGGAGATGGCTTTAAGAGACAAATAGAAACCCACTTCGGACGCATGCAGCGTAAGAGGTATGTTAATATATATAAAGTCAGAGATCCGTACTTGCGGAGTTGCTATGCTAGGAGTTTATTGTATGTATTACGACAGTTTCGCCGAGAGGCTCGGCTTCGTCAGGAGATGGCATACACGTATCCTATACATATATAATATTTTACGTGCCTTGAAATTAAGTTCAGATATGTCCATTGGAGCTAGGCTTTCCCAACAATATGCGAAATATTCTACTATTCGGCAATACAGTCTGTCGTGCGCTGGTAGGTGACATCAAAGCTGCAGCACTGCGCCCTTCTTACGTAAGAGTTGCCGTAATGGTAACTTTGAGAACATATCCTATGTTTATTTTTTGCCAAGTACTATATCGAAAATAAAAGCTGAACAATTAAGTGCGAAAATGTATACGCTACAACGTGTTAGAAATGCTACAGCCGTTCGACGCATAGCCACGGTCGTTCCTCGGTGTTTGATATATGGCACAGAGAAAATGTTTAGGCCCAGCAATGGAAACTCACAATGTGGCGAGGATGGAGGCGACACGCTGGGGTCTCGTTCCATGCGATCCTCTTTGACGCGCTCCTTTCGCACCTGGAAGAACTCCGGCGCTGTGCTCACAAAGAAGATGTCGCTCTGCGAGAACCAAGCGAAAGAACGCCATGATGATGCATTTGGAATTTCCGGAAAAGGCAGCTTGTCAGCTTTATGCAAAAAAATGCTAACAGTGGCCCGTTGCAATTCAACTAAAAGAAAACATACGCAATTAGTGAGGTACTTGAGAGAGATTATCTTCTGCCGAAATCTCAGTGTCTAGTCTGTTTTTTTTTTCTTCTTTTAGTCGTACAGCTTTCAGATACGGACGCTAGTCCTTCCAACTTCGGTTACTTACCCGGAAGAGAAGACTGCGATACTTTTTATAAAGCTTTTTATTTTTTTACCTTTGCACGTGTTACATTAAGCTGTTGTTGGTTATGTCGGCAAGAGACTCTAGGTAATGTTTAATGAATGTTTATGTTAATGAAAAACAAAATAACTGGAATCACGAAGTTTTCTTAAATTAGCAGCCTTGAAACGAGTATTACAATGGATTACATTGCATACCTTTGAAGTGATGAGTTTCAGCTTGGGCATGACCATGTTGTGCACAAGGTTCCCGTTGATGATCAACCGGATCTCTATGCTCTCATAGGTGAATGCCATAATGTATGGAAACACGCACACTGAAAAGACAAAGATGATACATCAAGGACCGCCGTTCTTCAACGGAAATTATTACGACCGAAGGATTCGAACGAGAAAATAGTGAGAAACTAGCCGTTAAGTCCATTTACAAGGATATTAGCAAATCAAATTAATGATAAAAATAGATTATTGCGTATATCAAAACCGAAAATAAGTTTATGACGTACCTATGTTGTCAGGCACTGCATTCCACTGAAAATCAAATTCAGTGGTGTTCTCATCACTCAGCTTCTGAAAGTGCGTCGTATCTGTAACAAAAAGGTGCACATAATCTTAACTTAATTTAAAAAACAAAATCGTACTGTATTTGAGCACATACTTCTGGGCCCTAATTTAACGATTTTATTTTCTAAGGTTGGTTCACATGGCGAAATAATAATAATAAAAAAAAGTGCCTCTGATGTCGCAGACGAACTTTGGATCATTTTACGAATGAATGCAATGTTCATATTCTTCATTCTAGTTTTTGTACCAAGTTTCAAGTTTGTACTACTGTTGGCAGTGCATACCCATAAAATGAGCATTATTAAACTAGGCCGCGGCTGCTCATGAGCTCGAACAAGAACCAACAACAACAACAACAATAGATTAAAATGAACTAGATCAAGTATTGTCATATCGCTCAACTCTAACTGTCCAACATACAGTAATTTAGGAAGTTTCCATAGCTCTCAATCAGGTAAATTTGTACCATGTCAATATCTTCTACACTTCGCGCACTTTTATAGGATGTTACATGCAACCTTGCATGGTAACGTCCGTCGTCGGGTTTTCTGCCGTTGTGGCGCAACGTTCCAAAACACGCGCGCTTGTGCGCCGAGAAACTGAGGGAAAGGAGAAGAGAGGGGAAATCAGAACGTCGAGCTCTGACGGGAAGGATCAGTGGGTAGACCTAAAGCTACCTGCCTCTGTCTCCACTGCACTCGTTGAGCCCGTTAGAAGGCGGAACGCCGGTGTTTGGCTCTCGCACTCGAACGCCTTCGACGAGTGCAGTGGAGACAAAGGCTTTATGTCTACCCACTAATCCTTTGAATCAGAGCTCGGCGTTTTGACGTTCCCTCTTGTCCCCTCCTGTCCGTCACTCTCTAGGCGTCTAGACCAACACGCTGCTTACTGACAGCTCAGCTTTTGGCCACATCAGGTGCGTGCACATGCGCAAGAACCAGAGGCCAGATTCACAAAACGATCTTACGCCAACAATGTACGTAAGATAAAACGTAAGAACAAATTCGTATTCACGAAACGAAATTATCGCAAGTTTTTCGCAGGTTACGACGGAATCCTACGACAGCTCCGAAGCTGTCTTACGCACTTTTTACGATCAAATCATCATGGCCGACAGCGTCGCTCAGTTACTTGGTCGCCACGACCAGCGGACGTTTATTTTTCTGCGTGCTCTTCTCGCGCGTCCCGACGTCAAGCAGCAAGATGAAAAGAAAAAAAAAAGAAAGAAGAAACCGCATCTCCACGTGGTGAATGATGTTGATTGGGGCGAAGCTCGGGTGGTGCTGATGATACTGATTTTGGTCATAGGTAGTGCTGATGGTACCGTTTTCATTCATGTCAGTAGAAGAATGTGTGGTTTTCTTTTTTTCTTTTTTTAAGAAGACAGATGGGATGGCATCTCAGAGCCCCCTATTTTTCTTTTTTTTTTTATCTTTTTTTTCAATTTTTTTTTTGCTGTCGCTGCTGAACTCACCAGCAGGAGCTCGGGAGCTCCTGCTCGTGAGCTCACGAGCAGGGGCGCGCCGGACGTTTTTTTTTTTTATTTTCTTGCTCTCGCTGCTGAACTCACGAGCAGTAGCTCGTGAGCTCTTGCTCGTGAGCTCACGAGCAGGGGCACGCCGGACGGAGGACGGACGGACATACGGACATGGCTAGCCCCTAAAGGGGTATTCACACGAGGGAGAAATCCCTGGGATTTCTCCCCGGCACGCGCATCCCACGACGAAAACGCCAGGCTTTGCGATGTGCAAAAGCCTCGCGTTTCCATCTCACCGATCCCGACCAAGCGAGCTCGGCAGAAGATAAGCCTAGCAGGCACTCCGACTCGGTGCAGCACTGCTCCGACGGTCCTTGGCCAAGACCGTCTGCCCACGACCGGCTGGCGTGCTGAATGCAATATGCCCGCGCGACCCTTGTGGACCCTTACCGTATATAGTTTGATCGCAGATCTCAATTTTATGGCGAATTCCACTGGGGGTTTTGGAGCGCGCCGGGATCAGTTGACAAGATCCGGACTGGAGCATACGATCCGAACAAGGTCGGGCCGCCTACGGATCCCCAGTGGAACATGACATCTGCTCCGGGATCGGCGGATGCCTTCCCGTCATTCAACTGCCCGGGAATCTCCTTTCCGCGGCCGCCGCGGTCGTTTCGAAGACGTTTTCGCAATCGCGGCGCTCAACACGTGTTCGACGCACGAGCGGCAGGAATGGCTCAGGCGTTTTTAGCAAAAATTGCCGGAATGCCCGTAGCGCGGCAAATACCTTCTCTTCTCCTTCCTGGAAAACGAACCGGCTGTCGAGCCAAGGGGTAAGCAAGCGGTCATTACGAATTCTTCTGATGTGGAGACAATCTAGGAGCCCAGCCCGCGACGTGCTTCTTCTTCTGAGGCGAGATAGGCGACATCAGGCCAGATGCCCCACGAAAAGGAAGTCACGTGTGTGCGCCGAGGGCTGGCCCGGCTGGCTTCCGGTTGAATCCGCCGAAATCGTGGGAGCGACTTTTCTCGGATCCAGATAGAGATCTGGAGCGGGAGCTAATCCAAAACGACCAGTGAAACACGTTGGTCTCGATCCCGATCGCCCAGTGAAATAGGCTCGCTCCAGAAAAGTCGATCCCGGCGCGCTCCAAAACGACCAGTGGAATTCGCCATTAGATTAAGAGGTCAATCTGTTCCCCTTGTCATCTCCTTGCTTTCCGATGCAGCGGTGACAAACGCTGTCGTCGAAAAGGAACTCTCATCGATTCTATCTCTCTGTTTAGTTTGATATAGAGCTCAAATAAACGGCCGTATGGATTACCTTCGCAACACGGTATGTACACATTGTTATTAGTATGCCATTTTTATTCTGACACGACTGCACGTCACTGTCGGGCTATAACAGTTCGTGGGAGCTACGCGCTGCCGGTCCAACCTTTCTTTGCCGAGTGTCACGTCAGTATCGAGTTGCAATCGTAAAAGAGCGGTCCCGAAGCGCTTACCAATTCGGGGTTCAACAGCGCGAATCCAGCACTTCGATCAAACGCGCGCGTCCGCTCCGAGTGTGAACGGGTATTTACGTGGCTCTTGCTGACACTCGTAGTTCAAACGAATTTTTTTAACGTCGGCTCGCTCCTGCATCTCCGAAGCAGCGAAAAACACCGCGGCAATTTGTTTCCATACGTCGCTTTGCAAACGACTGACTTTTGCCAACAATGACAGTTGTGTTGACTTCGTAGCGATCGAGTTCGTGGCAGTCAACGGAGGGGTTTACGTATCCCGGTCTCGGCATTCGGGCGCGTTTAAATTGTGTTGGCGTCGACAAATCACTGCACGGACACGAACCCCAGGCAAGCGGTGGTGGAAAACCGCCTGTGTTTGTTGTTAAAAAAAATCAACTTGCTCCGAACTGCCCCGAACCATTCCGAGCTCTCCGATTGGTTGTTCGTGCTGCCGAAGACGCCGTCGCCATAGCAACGGCACCGGTAAGTTCTAGTTTTTCTATGCGAGAACGTCGCTTTCTCCTCTCACTTAAGAACGCGTTCGTGAATACCGATTTCTCCTCTTCTTGTGATGTTCTTAACTTACGAACTTCTTCGCTAAGTTGTCGTAAACTAAGAAGCTCTTCGTGAATCCGGCCTCAGATTTGTGAAACGTCTGCGAACGTGCAGCCAGCAGCGCCGCCGCAGGGGCGCACACTGGGTGCCCACTCACGGTTGTAGCAGAGGAGGAGCTCCGCCTCGTCATCCTCGTAGATGTCAACGGCTGCCACCAGGTGCACCTTGGAGGCGTCGACCGAGTGGAGCCGCGTCGCGTCTCCCGTCTTCTCGTTGACCAGGTCGAACTGATGCCGGTAGCCGACGCACACGTGGTTGTCGCCGCACGCCGTGGGGCTGTCCACGAGGCTCACAACGGCCGGAGCCTCGGACACGAGTAGCTCGCGCACCATCTGGAAGCCCTCCACCGTGTCCGTGTCGGAGGCCGCGCACCAGGTGGTCCAGGCGGCAGAGTGCCGCCACTGGAGAACCAGCAGGCGACGGCCCACGGCCGCCACCATGCGCAGGTGGCTGCCGCCCGGACGGCTCAGCGCGTACAGGTGGCACCCTGGAAGGACCACGCGCCTTGAGGACATGTCTACGCGGGACTTCGCAGACGACGAGTCCGTGAAGTTTCACGTCCCCAAATCTGCCCCGTGCTAGACTCAGGTATAGGGGACGTAAAAGAATCCGGCAGTACGGCCTCGTCATCTAGGAGGCCTACGCCATTTATTGTTCAAGTGTTGCAGACATCAACCGCTGGCAGAATGAAAACTGCAGGGCGTGTTTTTCGAACGCCTGGCCTCCGGCACGCGCTCCGTGCCCTCCGCCGTGCTTCGGCTGCGCGAGCACGAGGTGCACGAAACGCCGAAGCACTCCTGCACCTCATGCAGCAAGCTCGCGCTGGAGGCAACCCAAATGAGGCTCCTCCTTGCCGTTTTACATCCTGTTCGTAACTATAAAGTGTCATCCACTGGTTGCCGCGGCAGAGTCCTTAAAAAAAGAAAGCTATTAAAAAAGAAAAAAAAGAACGAGTTAGAGGTGAATTTTAGAGTATTTTTATCCCGTGAATCTGAATATTACGTTCGTTTTCCCAGAAGATGTAACTAAACGCGAGGAAACACGAAAAACTGCTGACCAGTCGCTACGTCATATTATAGATCTTACGGCCGCCAAGAGAGTGTCGCTCGTGTGGGCAGCGCGTGCAAGCTTGCCAGACAGGTATATATTCCCCCGCACTGACACCAGTGGAGACGTCCTTTTCTGACGCTTTTTTTGAAAATAGGAAGGGTGCGCGCGCGTGGCTTCAATAGGCGCTGAAGATGCGCGAGAGCGGAGATTCCAAAAACTCCTAATATGACGTTACGCTCCGTGAAAGCCTCAGCGGTACATTGAAAACGATTATCTGCAACTTCCATGCACCAAATTAAAAAAAAAAAAATCGATCTGGAAGCCAAATGAACATGATTTTCCTGCTCTTCCTTAAATACAGAACCACTTCAGTTTACTTTTAATGCTGATCGCTTGCTGGCGGTAAGTTTCCACAGCTCTTCCACGACGTGCGTTCAACACTATCAAGATTGTCATTCTTGGTCGACAGTAAGTAAGAGCTCATTCTAAGCATGGGCAGTGAAATACGCGCTGAAATACGACGTCCAGTGATTACTACCTACACTGATGAACCCCAATCATAGCCTCTTTTATACTGACAGAGCCTGGCAGATCGTCATGTGACGCGGCTGCCGAAAGTGAAAAGGTAGAGCGGCAGACAAGAGTCAATAAGCGTGTTTCACATGCAGCGATTTTGGCCCTAGAGCGGCGCGATTTCTGCCGTCGCGGCGCTCGTGCCGCTCGACCGCTGGTGCTGGCCAGAGCGCCGCGACGGCAGAAATCGCGCCACTCTATAGCCAAAACCGCTGCATGTGAAACACGCTTCATGTAACTGGCGCCCCGCGGCTGCAAGACGCCGAAACACACTTGTCCCGGGCGATGGAATGTCCACTCGTGCTTCTCGCGTTCCTCAGGTTACCACTTCTGCACTGGCTAAATTGCTCATCTGTAGCCGTCGGGTTTGAAAACCTTGTTTCGGGTTCCCGCCACTGCAAAAGCTGTGCGCTGAATACCAAACTCCCCGAAAAATTCTCTGTGCTACCAGATCCTCCCGCTCCAAATCTGCGACTGGGCACTCTATGGCTCCGTCTTCGAACTTCCAGGCTTTGTGAGTATAGAGGAGGTTATGCTCCAATCTGTAAAGCCACGTGCAGCGTTGCGGGAAAAGTAGGTACACGCGCGGCTTCAAGGAGGACATTCTTTGCACGGCTGCTCGTACGGGCAATGAGCATGGCAATGAGCATGGCAATGCTGCTGTGCCTGTTTTTTTTATTTATTTATCCTCTCACGTGAAAAGAAGTATAGCTAATTTATTTAAAAAAGTAGTAATCTACTATTCATGCAGATAAACGTCCAGATGTCTCGGTGTTCTTGTTGAAAGAGAGCAAAATAAAGAACGCTAAGCCACAGACGTTGACACCAAGAGAATGATAATATACGAACGAGATAGTTTGAATTCAATTGTAGCGTAAGAAATTCGAGGACATTCTTTTCGGTTATTGGAAAGTTTTAGTAAGTCGTTCCGATGACTCCTACAACTATGCTCGATACTCTACCGCCGCCTTTGCGCATGCATCGTTATCGGGGGCATCGGAGGTATCGGAACGCTCTACTAAATCTTTCTATTGTGTGAAATCCCGGTATTGCAATCTTTCCCTCTTAGTTCAAGAAGTGCAACTCGTGGGTTCGAAAAGGACGTTTTCTATTATTAACCTTTCTAGCTTTGGGTTTTTAAACGTTTTTGTTACCTTGCTGCGACATTTTTAGCGAGCCTTTTCTGCAGTGTTCTTTTATCAACTACCGTTATTTGCAACATATTTGTACATCTTACGAAACTGTTCTATTGTAGAGCATTCTGCTCTAGACATTAAACTACGAAGGCAGTGAGAACACAGGGCTTTCAGCGCAGGAAAGATAAGCCAGTTTCACGACTCCACCAAGAGAACCTAACATATTTTGGACAAATCGCAAGTTCAATGAAGCTGCACTGACCTTTGGTGCGTTCCAACTTGTGTTCTCTTAGGTCTGGTCGACTTCTCACGAGAGCGTTCGTGGCGTCCCCTTCGAAATCAGTCAACCGAAACACATGGACCCTGCTGTCTCTTCCTGAAACAAAAAGAAAAAACAATCAAGAAAAGGGAAGTGATAGACATTACGCAATTATACAGGGGGGCTATTTTTATTATAGTGTAGCAAAGCGAAACAGTTGTTAACACAGAAGAACGGGAAATAAGTCGCTCGCCAACACTGAAAGATTACATGCAACAATCAGACATGTGGAGATGTGAACCACGTAATCCTAATAATGAATATGTCTACGTTCGCCAATGAAATACGCACTGTTTCCTCTAACTCGAAATTCGAAGACGACAGCGGACGCCAGGAGAGTACCTAATTGTCAAATCGCAATCCACAAAGGGTGCTACAAATGTAACCCCTCCAGATTTGTTTTCTCAGTGTACAGCGTATTTATTGGATTATGGATCGATACATTCTTCTCAGACATTTGATCGTCTCTCAATAAATTTTGCAGTATTATTCATACTTGACTGCCATCGCCAGGTTAAACGTTTTACTTCAGGCCGGTACAAAATTGTCGTTTAGACATCGGAAATTAATACGTGCAGTTTCGGCTCATCGTCGCCATAAAGAGAGCATCCTCTGAGTGCGTCATTCAACGAACCAGAGTTAAACCCGTCCTCAGGGAATGCTTATAGATGTGTTGAATAACGGATGCTTACCAAGAAGTTCGCATAATCGGTATGAATAGCAAAAATGAACACACTACATGTTGAAATAAATATATCTTCAGGCATACAACTTTGAACCTGCACTCGTATATAGCCATTGAGCATGATAATAATAAATTGCAAGAGGAATCAAACAAAGAAATGTAAATGCCAGGTTCTATCATGTAGCTGCTCAATATGTCGGGTGTTTTTGGAAACGCGGGCAAAATCGCTCCTGCGAAGACTACACATAGCACAGAAAGAAGGTTGATGCTGTAGTGGTGTGTGCCGAAGGGCACATTCATGAAAACTATTAGCGTTCAGTATAATTGGGTGATTAATTACTTTTTAGTAACTAAAGTAACTAAAGCAAAGTTTCTAATTGAAGAAGTACATTTCAATTAATAATTAAACATTTACCTACCAAATGCAATTAATTACCCAATTACACCGAACGCTACTAACGTTCCGTAATGGGAACTTTGGCACTGACCACTATGGCATCGGCCTTTTTTTCTGCGAGATGCATAGCGATTTGGCCCGCGTTTTCATGTATAGGCTCATAGTATATAGTATATACTGTAACTATACTATATACTATATTTTATATACTCAATTATCAACCTTGTTTTCAAAAATTTTTTAAATCATTTAGGTGCTTGTCAAAAAAAAAAAAAAAAAAGTAAAAATAACCTAGGTTTTGTTACTTCAGATTTGCCCCAGATTAAATAAACCTTGTTATCTCGCTCCAGGGGAGCATGAGGGCGGACAAGAAAACATCCTCTTTAGGATAATGAATGTCCTCCTAATCTCTAGGGATAAACGCAAGGAAAAGCTTCATACCTCGGTCGGTTCGGAAGAGCAGAATGCCGTGGGCCTCGACGACGCTGATCTGCTTCACTTGAACGGTTTTGTCGAAGATGAGCCGGTGCGTGAGTCCTTCTTCGATTAAAAAAATGCCCGCCTCCGTTCCTAGGATGAGCTTGTTGTTTCCTAGGCATGAAAAAAAATGTTAAAAAAACGCAATTTTTATAGAACTCCGCAATGGTGACTTATTTCGACTAATAGGGTAGAACTATCTAATAAGAACGACATTTAAATATAATGTTTTATAGTATTTACATATTTATGTGATATGCTAATGAGACAGTGAAGGATCTTCCAGCAATTTAACTCATGTCATGCATGCTTAAAAAATTAAAACAACGCAAAAAATAGGAGTATTGTTTTTTTGTTTTTTTTTTATTTAAGCAGAAGATAGCCAAAAGAAACGAGAAGAGATTTGAATGCAAATTAGAAAGTGAGAATCTTCAGGAGGGTAAATTAGCATGTTAATTCCTACAGCCGCGTATGAATAAGAATAGCAAAACTTCGGTGAACACTAATCTAGAAATATACAAAAAAAAGAGAGGCTAATTTGGGTAACTCACCCCACGAGTCCCCACAGATGATTTCATGTGGAAAGTCGGGATAGAAACATTGGGGTTCCCAAGGCTGGAAAAGAAAGCAATGTTAAAAGATGCTCTTATCTCTATATACCCGGTGTTGGGTAAAGTACATCTAAAAGGCACTTCAAGTAAAGTACAAAGTAAATGAAACGTGATGTACTTCAAGTAAAGTAAAAAGTACACTAGGTGCAATGTACTTGAGTAAAGTACTATAAATAAAATATACCTTAAAAGCAAAGTCCAAGTATTTTAACACAATCTTTCATGATGTCCTTTAATTCCCATGTACAGTGATTTTGAACTGGTACGCATTGCCCAGGGGTAATCAGGGGTGCATGACATATTTTCGAAAAACAGCGGCGAATATTCGACAAAGCCAAGTGGCCACAGAGGAGTCATTTTCATGAATGGTGCCAAATTCAGAAGTCCCTCTTCTGAGTTTGGCGCCGCTTGCACTGGATTGTTGCGCCATGACGTCAGCCCCGTAGCTCCAGCAAGCAATCCCCTCAAAAAAAAGTGTCCTCTTTTTAATGAAAAAAAAAATAGTGAGTGTGAAAGTCAGCTGGTGACAATTAACCATAATGTGATACCTGAGATTGGGGTGCGAAAAGATTAAGGAACTTTCGAGTCGAAGGAAAAGAAAAAAGGGAATGTCTCAAAACATTGAGACGTTCTCCTCTGTTGTCGTTTTCTTCAACTTGAAAGTCTCATTGTTCCGCACCATACTTTCAGGTGCTAGACTATGATTCATTTTGCTCTCATAACAATTTAAACCTCCTCACTTGCGCTGACCGACTGAAAAGTAGCCTGAGTTCAAAAAGCTGCGGGGAAGCCGCCCCCAGGAAAACCGGAGCGATGTATCGTCTGCTCACGTCTCTGGTTAGAGTAGAACATCCCACCCAGTATCTCTTCGGAGTTCACAGAGCATCATTTCGTGATACACATTTAACAAAACCAAATTTTTGGAATGTACTTTGAAGTCGGAAATCGTAATTTCCTCAGAAAGTACCAGAAAGAAATACTTTAAATAAACTACAAGTACATACTGAGAGAATGTACTTCAAGTAAAGTACAAGTTTCCTAAACCTACTTGAAGTAGTACTTTAAGTGCAATGTACTTGAAGTACTTCCCAACACTGTATATACCCGTATGGGCCGTTAACGTTTAATAAACGATAATGATGGTGATAGCCAGACTATGAGTTATAACCCAATTAAAAACAAAGAAAAAAAGAAATAGCTGCAGCTTACTTCTCGTTTGAAGAGACTAGTTGTGGCAAGACTAGTGGGTGCATCACCCTTGACGATCGTATCAAGCTTGAGAGCCTGAAAAGCGAGAACATATTAGGGTGGGTAATTTTCAATACGGCTCGTTTTCCAAATGCTGTATATAGCATGGATGTGGAAATAACAAATAATAATAAAAAAAGTAAGTCTAGTTACAAAGTGTAGTTAAAAACGTGAATTGGGAAGTAAGAAAAGAGGCACGATCGCGATAAACGTTGAGAGAAGTACAATCGGTGCCATTAAAGTAACTCGTCCCTTTTGAAGATAATTTTTACAATGCGTTTATTCGTGACAACGGAATTAGGGTGGAACGAATGCTCCAAATAAAAATAGGAATAATCAGTGATTGTAGTCAGCGTGCGACAAACGCCAGCGCTATAAACCAGCCAACATTAAAAAAAAACTAAAGAAAAAAACTTGTAAACCCATGTATTATGTCGGTAAAATCTGTAGCCTAGTTAAGTGGTAGTCTTCATATTATTTCAGAGTAATGGTGACACAAATACAAATATTCAGAGTTTTCTTTATCGCCATTATGAAGTTATTTTTTTCGTCGTGGTCACCGGTGAATCGGGTATGGGTTTGTGCCCCGGGGACGGGCCTAATTTCTGAGCAGAATGTTTACAGACCTGTTGTAAAATATGCATTACGGAGAATCACGCTATATAAAAGAGTCAGAACCGTTTTTGTACGTTCATGCGCATGAAGCAAATTACGAAGTGTAGAAGTATGAATAGAAGGAAAGTGGGAACAAAAAAGTGGAAGAATTGTGGATCTGAGACGGTCAGACTACTATCGTTTCTAGACTATATTTACGTAAAAAACTACTCGTTTAAAGCACCAGAACCGGAAATAAATTATATAGCGCATTATAACCAGGTAAATTTATTCGATCGAAGTTGCTTTAAAAAATAATTGTTACGTTTACCCCAGAATCGAGCAATAAAGGTACACAATATATCATCAATGTTAGTCTTATGAGGGCTTCTTTGTGTTGTTGTAAAAAGTGCTCTAAAAGATAGCGCTATATTATATTGAAATCTGTATTAATGATGTAAAAATACCAAAATTACTGTTAGAAAATATTTAACGACATAATTACACTACTTGATTCCTAAATATCCCATTCTACAACACCTTTAAAGTAACTACTTGCATTGATGCTTACAAAAGCAAAAAAAGAAAAAAAAAGAGAAAAGCTTCTGTAATTCGATTACAGTGATCTCACTGCTGCCTTGTCAAGAGATAAAATTGAAAAAAATAAAACACAGAGGACAAGCACAGGTCAACCATTTTCTTTCATGTGTTTCTTCTTTCATGTGTTTATTTCATGTGTTTTATTCTTTCAATTTTATGTATTCATGTTCAACCCGCTTTCCTTCACCAGTTCTCAATAGGTTTGACAAACATTTTAACCTTACTCTGACAAACAAGAACCATTAAAAAAAATATTGATGCCAATTAACAAAGCATCGAGTATTAAAAAAAAAGAAAAAAACTCGGTCACATACCTGGCCGATCCGTACGAATTCCACCTGTCTGGCTTCTTCTTTCCGCCGAGAGCCTCTGGGCGTCTCTGGCAACACGTCGCTAAACGCCCGCCTGTTGAGCATGTTCTGAAAACAATAACACGAATATCTAACTTCTCTCATCTATATGAACTTGTTTGCTCAGGTTACAATTTAAACACACGAAATAAACTTTGAACGCGCAAACTCAATGACATGCCTCGAATATAAAACCACCTTTAGCTAACAGATAATTGCACGCTGTACGGTTGTAGATATATACTGTGTATGGGTTGCCTCGTAACTTCATAAGCGGCCTCACTCACCCATTGCCGCTGTTCGAATGGTCCTTCTTATTGGGAAGGAGTAGAGTCACTGAATGTTCCCAGAGTACCGAAACTCCCGAGCTTCGTTTTAAAACCGAGTCGCGGCGCACCAGTCGCTATCCCCAATATGGCGCTGCACTGTGCGGTCGAACCGAAGCGCGTACAGTCTAGCGTCCGTTACCGTGCGAGCTCTTCAATCCACGTACCTGACCTGCGGCGACGCTGGTTTCTTTTTATTAAAGTTCTTCCATTCGCTCCGAGCGGTGAGTGACTTGCTCCTCGCTGTCTCGTCTTTCTCCCTCGCCTCGAAACATATCGAAGTCGAGTGTTAGGCTTAGCGTCTGAGGCGTAGAGTTTGAAACGCAGCACCAGCGTAATCCGACCAAGAAAACGAGGCGGCAATCTCATTTGGCAAACCAAATCAGCGGCTACTTAATTAAAGAAAAAAAAATCAACGCACTTTCCGTTCGGTCCTAACTCATCGGTATACCCAGAGCTCCCCACCCGTGCGTACCCATCGTAGCCGCGATAACGCGAAAACATTTTATATACGTTTTAATTGTTGTTTTGGGCCGATTCACAAAATGGCTGACTGATAACTTCCGCCACGGGCTAAACCAGTCAATCAGAACTGAATTTGCGGCATTAAATTCCGGTAAGCGGACTGAATGGGATTCGGTATACTCTGGGGACATTTAGTAACTCTAGAAAGGAGCAGTAGGCCTAGATCTAAAAAGGGGAGAAACTGAAACCATGGAGAGCCTTTTGCAATTTAATGATGAATGCCTCCTGCGCAGATTGGTGGCAAATGCGCATGCGTTGCGTTGTCGCGTGGAAAGAAGGAAAGTGGGTGATGGAGAGGAGCTTGCAGGCGATCGACGCCTCGCAGCTTGTATTGCAAACGCGGCCCATTAATCGCACGACTTCGATCGAGCAGTTGCAGACACTCTAAAATGCAGGCACTCTAAGGAGGAGGTCCAACCGTCGCGCCCCTAGAGGCGAAGCTATAAATCAAACCCACGGGGACAACAACAATACGAATTATGTTTTTTTGTGTGTTTCTGACGCTCCACTCGGGTAAAGTAGCCGAATTCTCCGCCAGCGTTCGTCTGGAGTTCTCATTCAGTCAGTGAACGAACAATTGAACAGGAGACTTCCCCCCCCTCCCCCCCCCTGCAAAACTACTGCCTCGGCACTTCTGTTCAATCTATGCCGTTGCCCCCCCCCCCCCCCCCCCCCCCCGGCTTAATAGACGAAGATAACAAAGAAATCCTGCCCACAGGTATTGGGTTCAAAAAAATAAAACACAGTAAAAAAAAAAAAATATTGTTCGATTTTTTTGCCAATAGACTCAGCGTGGCGTAATGCCATACATGCAACTTTTAGTTACCAAAGAGCTTACGATTCGTATTTGGTGAAACCTTTATTATCCGACCAACTGGGGTTCCTGCTCCGAGGTAAATGATATTTGCGTGTATTGCACCATGCCGCTATACGTTCAAGGTGCTCAAGTATGATTCACATGGTGCGATTTTATTTTGCTCGCGATTTCGCAGTTGTGACACTGAGCACCGCAGCTTCCAGCACGCAATTTTCGCCACGCGAGCGATGTCGCGACTGCGAAATCGCAAGTAAAATCGCATGGTGCAAATCGAGCCTTACTCGCTGTGTGGCTTCTCCGCATTACTGCTTCGGTCGTAGCAAAAAAATGCACATTAAAAGCGAGCGAGCGCGAACCCCGAGCACGCTGAGAAGAACGGTCCTTTTATATAAAGTTACAGTGGCGATGCGAAGCAACAACGTCCTTTCTTTTCCACCGATAACACAAGGCGGCGCGTTCCCTCAGGCAACACTGGGCATAACGTGTAGGTGGCGCAAGCTACCGTCCACGGCATCGCCAATATTATCTATCCATCCATTGTGAACGAACCCGTTCACACTATAGCAACCTAGTACGACCAAGAGAGACGAGGCCTGTAGAAACCTCTTAAATTTCTTAGGACGAGGGAACACACTAGCATCCTGGCGCCATCTATGCGGTGACCTTGAAACTGCATTTCACAAAAGCGAAGGTTTTGCGGGATTTCCGAGGTTAATGTGCGTAATACCTATAAGAAAGGCTCGTTTATAACGTTGACAAAAAATTTTCGAGCAAAGAAAGAAAGGATAACGCGCGAGCAAAATAGAAAAGATGCCGGACAGCCAAATTTTCACTGCTACCCAATAGATGGCGCCAGTCTGTCTTCTCGTTTAGAGTTCCTGTATAGCTAGCTGGAGCTTATACAGGAACTCTACTCTCGTTGTAAGAGGCTTCAAGGCACCTAATTCAAAGAGGTCGCAAGAGTGTAAACGGGCCTTAACCCGCCATTCAGTTCCAATGTGGCAACTACAGCGTGGACTTGCATGAGGGTCGGTTCCTACACATGCATGATTATGCGAACCTGCCTTGCCACGCGTAGAGAAGCTGCACAAACTCTGCTTACAGCACAGTTCATTAAGTGCATGCTGCGCTATGAGAAGGAACAAGCGCGAAATCTTCACTCAGAAGATTGCGTTTTATTTCATCTATCCACGAGCGCTCACGTTAGATAAATGTTTTCTGAATACACGCTTCCGCGCCCGTACTTCTGATAACGTTGCAGGTCCCGTTTGAAACCAGGTCGCTATAGAGTTTTCGGCGTTCGTAAGCCATTTTCTCGCTTCTGAATCGCAAGACACCTGCGTGCTGGGCTCTCGGGCTCTTGGCTATACGTTTGTAAAGGTGAGAGAGGAAGCGCATCTTTGATATACACTTAGTAAACAGAACTTTAATTTTAAGTATATTTTCGTAAGTGCTAAATTAAAGTACAAAATTAGTAGACGATTAGTGCATTAATTTTTGCCAAGGATACGTAAGCTTGCATAGTCAGGTATTCGCTTTTGTCACCGAGAAGAGCGATGCAACGAGGACAGTACTATAGGAAATTCGGAGTGGGGATAGGAAGCAGTAAAAAAAATCTCCACTCACACTCCGGCTGTCGGACATGTGCTCGTTATAGAGGTCCTTGATGAGCATGTCTAATGTCCGCTCCCTCTTCTGCGCGAAGATGGGTGTGTTGAAGGCAGCCTTTTCGCCGTTGATCACTGTAACAGTACAAACATATCGATGGCCTCAAACGCTGCGTCGTGGCCGTATAAGAAGGAATCCTATCATCTATAAAAAATAACAAAAAGAAATGTAAGCCGGGGGAAAATGACAATAACTAGAAAAGACTCGGGCAGACGAATGTCCGAGGTAATTTTTTTTTTCTACCTTGCCAGCTGCAGAAACGGAACGTAAAATATAATATAACTATAATGATTGTGTTGTGTGAATGTTTATTCAGCTAGAAGTTAGTCCGCCTTAATGGGCGTCTGGTGTCTCAGCTGTAGATGAGAAATTCGGCCAGTGCAGCGCAACCGTCGGGGGTCTTTAATGTACACCATGCAGTAGGATACATGACCGCACGCCGGTACGGTCGGCAAAAACAAAATGAAAAGCCTTAAAATCAGGCCTGGTGTCGTTCAAATAGGAGCTAGCTGTTTCGCAAAATGACACTATATATAAATATGCAGGAGACACAGGCCAGTGGGATCAAGCACGTTGAGGTCGGAACAAAAATATATATTGTGTGCACAGGGCATTTGAACAAAACATTTCAGGCTCAAAATCACTATAACGCAAAAAAAAAAAAAAAAAAAACAACAACTATATTTTGTTTTGTTTAACAAAGCAACAAAAACAATATTGAAAATTATAAAAATGTAAAATCATTTTTTGAGGTACATATAAATTAATAAATACAAAAAACAAACAAAAACCTAATAACGAGAATGCAAAATCAAAGCCATAAAGACCAAGGAATAAAAGCCGGGGATCGTGGGCGGAAACGCGGTGCCCTATCGCCGTACAGGGCTGCTAGGTTATCACCGCAAACGGTCCTGCTGAGGTCACGTTCGGTGTTGGGGGCCGTTCCGCAAATTCCCGTAGACGTTTTCCAACGTTACCTCAAACAAAATCCTCGGCGCCTGTACCGAGTCTACGCGCGTGCCTCGAATTTCGCTCACGCCGCGTGCGAGCATTCAAGGTACGGCATACGGCATTCGCGGAGCCGTTATTTCGTCTTCTAGGTTTTCCTCTTTGTTCGAATTCGTTTCCACGTCCATGCGCAAAGAAAGACGGACGGCGCGCGGGATTAGGCCTAACGTGGCGGCGTCCATCCCGGGACAGGAAAGCCATTCGTTTGCTTTTCGAGTTGCCGGACACGCGTGAACCCCGTTGAAAAATGGTGCTTGAGATCCGTGCCTCTGGGAGCGCAGACGGGACTAGACCAATTGAAATTTCGTTACCTTCTTCGCCATTGTTGTCATTTACATATACCGTAAGAACGGAAACGGGCTAGACGGGTTCGTGCCGCGTGTTCCCGGACTGCGCGGTATCATGGGAACGTTACAAAAATCCCTTTTACTCACACTTCTGTTTAACTTCGTTAAACTGTGTGAATGATGCACACGCTACCATTGAATATACGATGTTTTTTTTTTGTATTCGTAACCTCGTCGGTCTTCCTTGCGTAAAAGTTATAAACGATGCATGCTCCCAAATAATGTACCCTTAAAAATTAAAAAAAACGCGGTTAATTGATTTATTATGATATCTCTTATTGTCGAATTGCCTGTAGATTGAGATTCATTTTGTAACAACCTCATATCCCAGGAAAATACACGTCTTATGAAGAGATTAACACATAGATGTATATGTATTGTATGTGAATTTTGGCAAGTGTGGATATTGCTGTGGGGTGTTTTACCGAAAAGGCGTTTGAGCTGTTGGTGTCACGAGATAAAATAAATATTGAATTTAATTGAATGAGATTGAATCATTCTGTCTCGTGTAAAATATGTGTTCAATGCTTTAATTTTTTTAAGCTCTGTTATGAAAGAAAGGCGAGAACCATGAAGGAACACTCATTCGGACTGTGCCATGCCATGAGCAAGACCCGTGTTCAAGCTCAAGCTAAAATATGAAATTGTAACCAAAACCGAAAATGAGTTATTTTCGTAATAAGCCACTATAGTATTTTTAAACTAAGGCAAATCATATAAAGTTCATGGAGATCATATTGCAGCTAGTTAAGGATTCTCGAAGGTTCTCAGCACAAGGCTCGCGTCCAAAACCTGCAAGAATGGCAGTCCATAGTCCCGTGTATTTCGCCGAGCCCATACGTTTTCTAGTTCTGCTTTGCTCGCCAGTTCAATTGCCCCAAAGCAAGATGAACTACTCTCCCATTTTTCAAAAGTGTACCTTAGCGCAGAAACCAGCTTGCCATGGCACGACTCCGGGAAAATGAAAACGTTTAATCAAACGCTGTGTATGGTGTTTCAAACAACAACGAAAAGCGACACATAAAATTTTTAAGGCCTGGCGCTCGCCTAGGGACCACCGGAAAAAAAGGAAGAAGTCCCCCTTTCCGCACAATATACGCGCAGAACACGCGCGCGCACACACATACGCACACACACACGCATCGCACACCCCGATACACAGCTGGATGGTTACAGTTCCCAAGCGGCCACGTTGTTTTCGTCTTCTTCCCTCGGTGGAAATTGACTTCCTCGGCGGACCGACAAAGACGATACGGACAAATTTAATTCCGAGGAGCTGTCCGGAAGCACTCGTTTTTCGAGACCCACGAGAGCAGCAGCAGCACGGTCAAAAGTCAGAGAGTTGATTTCGAAACTTGAATGAATTATTCAAAGGGGTTTTGGCGCACATCCGTCCCCGATGGTCCTGGAGAAGGCAATTGGCACCCCGATTGCGTCGCAATAAAGGAGCCCGAGATGCGAGGCAGGCGCGGTTGCGCTCGAGATGAAAGGAACTGGTAAAGGTTAACACCGAAGCTCCCCCCGCGAAAGGTTCCATTCGGCCGTGTCGAGCCGCGACGGAGTGAATTGATCGGGAGCCTGGAATGGAACTTATGCAGAGTTGCAGACGAAGCAATGAACGGAGCCCTTCGTGAACTCGATCCCTTTGTCTTTGAAGTCTCGGAAACTTCCAGCCGTGAAGAAAAAAAAAAAAAAAAAAGGAGAAAATAAAGCTGAAAGAAAAATTTAAGGTGCAAGGTCACGTGAAAAAAAAAAAAATAATTACGTGAAATACAGGGTGCGGCTATATAAGCCAGCCTAGCGGCGTTCAGGCAGCGAAGCGGCATAAAAGCTTTCAGAGAGCTCCGGGTACATTAGGTTGCAATGGACTTCCCGGTATAATATTGTCGCGACGTGGAAGTCGGTTTAATAGCGTAGTATGCCGGAGGCTCCCAATGCGGAATTTAACCCCTTTCAGCTAGCACTAAACCGGGCCAGCTCATATTGCCGCTGACGGTACTTCAATGCCAGCGCCTCCCACATCCCGCGGTCATGTGGACACAGCAGTTCGAGTTGATTCCTGATATCTTGAAAAGGGAGTCCTCCTCGTACTGAAACTCCCTTGACGCTTTGAGTATTGCGGCCGACTTTGATGATTTCTATTGAGGTTACGTGCCTCCCCCAGTAATCACGTTAAAAACATTAAAAAAAATTCTTGAAAAAAAAAACAGCTAGTTATAGTCCGTTGCAACTCAACAAGGTAGGGCGAGGGAAAGGACGGCCGGGGGGGGGGGGGGGGGGGGGGAGGAAGCAGATGAAACGCCGGAGAAGAGAGGGTGAAATCTGCTCCTCTTTTTAGCGTTTTGTCTGCTTCCTCCTCCCCGGCCTTCCTTTCCCTCGCCCTATCTTCTTGAGTTGCAACGGACTGTAGAGTTGAATTTTAGCGTATTTTCGTCCAGTGAATTTGCATATCACAAGCATTTAACCCGAACCATAGCCTCCTCTATGCCCACAAAACCTGGTAGTTCGACGACGGAGCCGTAGAGCGCCCGGTCGCAGATTTAGAGCGGTGGCAGAGAGCATTTATCGGGGAGCCTGTAGTCAGCGCTCAGCTTTTGCAGCGGCGAGGAACCGAAACATGATTTTCAAAACCGACTTGAAAAGAAGCGGTAGCGCGAAGAACGCGAAGAGCACGAGCGGACATTCCATCGCTTGGGGCAAGTGTGTTTCGGCGTCTCGCCGCAGCGGGGCGCCCGTTACATGCATCTCGTCTCATCCGTTGTCTGCCGCTCTACCTTTTCACTTTTGGCGGCGCGTCTCGTGGCGATCTGACAGGCTTTGTCAGTATAGAGGAGGCTATGCTCTGACGCATCGATAGACGCGAGAAAAAACCGAAAAACCAACTGCTGGGTGTGACGTCATACCCAGAGGTTTCAAGTAACTGCCTTGCGCGTGCCGCTTGTGAGGGAACGTGTGCAGTGTTTTTTCTGACTGCTTGGGTAAGGCTTGCGGAAGGCGCGGAAATGTTGAGATATTTGTATATTATGGGGTCACGATTTTTTCACACCGAACGTGCCCGGAAGAAGTGGCTTCAACTCTATTTTGAAAGTGCTGGCTGTCGTGGCTTCCTCGCATATCAATCCGAAATATAACTTTGATGTTCGTGATCCCGGAGCCAAAATGAAGACAATTTAGCTGTCTTTTTTTTTTTCCAAAATACAAACCCGCTTAAGTTTCGTTTAAAAAAAAAAGAGTTTAATTTACAGTAAAACAAAACGTCTGCTCTAAGATTTGCTGAAACATTCGCTCAAAAAACGTATACAACTGAGAAGTCGTTCACTGCCTACGGAAGTATTCGCACAGTCTGGTTAAAGGTTTAACCGAAAACTTTCCGCTAGCGTTCAGGCAAATAGGGCTCCTAATCTCATATACACGCGTGAAGCCTTATTGTTTTGTCGTTTTTGCCCGAAATGTTATGCCGTTAGTACAGGCGTGCATTTATAGCACACTTGCAATTCCAGTTTGTAAATGATAACTATTAAAGAGTGTTTACACTCACGTTTTACAAGGACGAACTCTCTGAACTCCTGGTGGTTCTGGAACACTGGCGGGCACGGCAGCGAGGGGCCGAACAGTGGTACCGACTCTTCAGAGAACAACGATATCCTGTGCGGGAAGGCGATGCAGTCCACCTTTAACACTCCTGATATGTATTCCCCTTACCGTTGTTTAGAATTGGGCGTTATGTAAGTTGTGGCCTTGCAATCATCTCAATGGTGTCTTTTATGCACTTTACTGTGCAGCACTTTTCTTAAAGTTGTATTCACCAGCGGCCATAGCTTAGCCCGTGGTAGCAGAGTGAGCTGACGGCGAGCTTCAAAAGTGCATGTGCAACGTGCATTCAACAGCGTCATCAAGATTGCAGGTCTTTGCAGCCTCTAAATGTGAGCTCGTTTCGAACATGCACCAAGCAAAGCGCACTCCAATATATGGTTCGATGTTTTGCTCTCATTGTGCAATGTTTATGGCGCTAGTCTAGGCGTGAATAAACCTTTTTCCCTTTTTTTTTTTCAGGAAGCGTTTTTTGCATGCGCAGGCTTGCCTCACATAGCGACGGGAGTTTGAACTAAGGTTGGCGTCCGGAAATGGAGTTGCGATACCATCTGCGTTACCTTTGCAAAACTTAAGTTTCGTATACCTCTCCTGCCTCCTCCGTCATGGAGGAAGGAGGAAAGGTAGCGCAAGCCCCGTTCCGGAGGCCAACCGTACTTCGAGCTCTCGCCGCTTGATGACATTATGTGAAGAAGGCCCATCAGTGCAGGAAACCCAGTCGACCATGGTGGACACGTAAATTAAGTATGGCTCAGTCTACAATCACCTCCACGAGGCCTCCACGAGGAGACTTTGAATACAGCGCGGTAAGGCAGCTGACCGCGCAGTCGCCTCATCATGGATGTTGTGAGCACATTCAACTATGCTTGTTTGCTCAGTTCACATTTGGAATTTGTTTATGTCCAACATCTTCCATAAAAAGTCAAACATATCTGCAAACGTTTTAAATCAAATTCATGGGCTGCGAAGGAGGTTCCCGAGCTTCCTTTAATCTAAGATTTCCCCAAGCAAAAGAGTATTTTACGTGATATCAACTAAAGAACTGAAAAGACGTGCACTGTGCCTGATTCGCATGGCGCGAGTTTGCTTGCAATTTTGCTGTTGAGACGTCCAATGCTTCCACTATGTTTTGTTTGTTTTTTTGCCGCAAGAGCAAAGTTGACGCAGCAATATCGCTACTAAAGTTCCATTATCTGAATCGGTCTTTAGACGTACAGTGGTGAATTGGGCTTGTTGGTGTTGCATTTTAAAAGGGTAAAAAGAGCGCAAAAATACATGGACAGGTAAGATGTACTCCAGCGCTTCGTGCGTGTACATCTTCCCTGTCCGTGTCTTTTTGGGCTGTTTTCACCCTTTAAACGCACCTTTGGATTTGTCAGGTAAGATTGCTATGAGCTCGTTTGTGTAGCCCTATAAGATTTATTTATTTGAAAATATGGTAAATTCAAAACATGGAGTAGTAATTACCTGTACGCGTCCTCCTCGCGGATGTAGGACACCACAGCAAAGATGTCTGTCGCTGAAGTCAAGGTTTAACGAAGAGCAGAGTTAAGACAACTTGAGGCTTCGTTATCGTTACCGGGAAAGAGAGAGAAAGAGAGAAGTGCTTCCTTTCTTTTCAACACTTCTCTCTCTCTCTCTCTCTCTCTTTCACTTTTAAAAGATAGAACTAGAAGCTCCGCCTTCCGCGCGAGCTTTCTGCCCTTGCTAACGCAAGTGTGAACGCGCAGGCACGCACTATCAAAACACTGCGGAAGTCAGCGAGCTCGCGCTGAAGGCGGAGCTTCTGGTCTCAGCTTAAGGGTGAACGGAGTACAGAGCACATTCCTGGATGTCAACATTCGTTTGATAGGTTTTGTGATGTAATATCGTCACTGAAGTGCAGCGCCTTTTTGTCTTCTTCATATATCTTTTTTTCTTTTTGTACTTTTCGTTTTTGTATTTTTTTTATGCTTTGAACTTCGTCAAACAATAATCGAGCTTCGAGGATTACCAGCGAGAGCTCCTTGTTTTGGAGCTCGAGCACAACGCTGCTAACGGTGCTGTCGCGAGCTTGAGTTTTTTCCACAACGTTGTCTTGACTTAGTTACCGTTTGATGCGCACGCTCTCTGGTGCAAATGAGGCAATAGATATGAAGTCACACGGTCGCGCCAGTAGATTTGACATGCTTACACTAAGCATGAAACGGGTCATAGCAATAGTCAGAGTTAAACAAAAAACAATACTGATATGCAAATTTAATTCGAATTTGTTTAAAAAACACGAGCACAAACCTTCCAATCTCTTGGAAGAATCGAGTGAAAATGCCTACCGGACCGGTTTCAATCTCGCCTAATAATAATCAGCATCCCACTAAAGGATACGGGTGAATTGAGACTTGATCATCGATGGCTTGAAGTTGCAGTGGTCCTCGTAGCTCCCGTTCAGGAAGATGATGTTGACGATGTCGTTACCGATGTGGCGCTTGCGTTCAACCTGAAAGAGATGACGTATTCCCCTAAATTAAACCGGCAAAGTAAATGGCTGAACGCCATTTAAGGCGTTCAGCCATTTTAGGTAAACGCTACTACATTTAAATGTAAAACGGCACTTTTAGGGGAACCGCGGTGCACACGTTCGCATGGCGCAACTACGATCAAGGTTTCTTAAGATGCACAATATATTTCGGCCTCACTAAGCTGTGAACCAGGCCTCAAGCAACAAAAGGATAGTATCAAACTTCTCTTCAAAATACAAAGAAATTCACTAATAAAGGTGAAATAAAAAAGGAACTCGAATTTGAACTTATTATTTTATTTTGCGAAAAATTCTCAAACGTTCACGTTGAAAAAAAAAAAGGATGAAGAAAAAAAGACTCTCACGTATTCCTTTTAGCAAAGAAAGCTGCACCAGTCCTTGCGATAGATGTAAAAAAAGTTTGCCAGTCAAGAAGTACAAATACCTTTAACTCGGGGAAATGAGAACTGGCAGAGAACAGGTGAGCCATCATGATCAGTCAGGAAACCCAAACTCTCGCTGTATTTAATACGCCGAAACGATCCGAAACTCGTCATTCACCGAGCCTCTCTGCGGCGAATTAAAAACGCCAGCATATCTTAAACGCTAATACCCGGCATCACAAGAGCGAATCATATATCAGTCTCGTTCACACACCTCCCGATTCTCATTTACACAATTTCCGGTACGAATCAGTATAAGGTCTATGTTTTTAGTGTCACACGTCAGCGACCGATTTCCGCTGACAGTACACCGACAGCAGGAGCGACGTCGCGGCCACGAAAAGTGGCGCGGGAGGCGTTTGTCGGGCGTCGCCAGCCCCCTTCCCGAAGCTCCTGATGCGTCCGCAGCACAAAGGTTTTCCCATGTTACCCGTGTCCTTGCTGAGGGCGTCGGTCTTGGTACCCTGGTCATCTGGATGTTCGTACACGACGCACGATCGATTCACTATGCTGTGCTGTCCGCTAATGCGAAGCACCTTGCTGGTCAGTCTGAAGTCGGCCAGGAGTTTAGCGGTCGCGTCGACGTTCCCCAAGTCCCCGAGGTGCGAGTGGGGGCTGTCGGGCACGCCGTGCGAACCGTTTAACGGGTTGTAGTGACGACCGACTTGATCGCAACCCTCGCTGATGTTGCCGTGCTCGTTGATGGTGAGGCCGTGTTTTCCGGGCGACAGTCCGTCGATGAGGCCATTGATTTCGATGGTCTTTTTGCCGGTTTCTTCCGTGAATAAGATGAGGCCTTCCACGTCCGAGCCGGCCATGTGACAGCTGGCTTTGAGGAGAGCGCCATGAACTGCTCGATGCGAAAGGAGCAGTACCAGAAGCCAGAGGTGCGATCGGAGCGTCATGACCGTGGCTTGAGAGTGGAAACTGAAGGGCCGCACCGGGGACAGAATCCTGAGTCGAACAGGAATGTTGATTCGAAGGAATTCGTGATGCGGTGACGTGTGGATTACTCGGAGTTCGATTTCAGGTGGGTCGAGATGAACGTTTAGAACGGCCGTTCGTGATGTGACTTCGATGGCACTGACTGTTTTGCATTGACCACAATGTGATCCACTCACCCACGCACTGCTGCAAACCCACGAGCTGATAACTAATGGTATCACTGGGGAATAGGTGAGCGGCGTTTGGCAACTTCCGGTTCTTTAGGAAATTTTGTTTCGCTGTTGACAAACGACGACAATGAGCTTCAAGCGTGTGCAAGCACAATTTGGAAACCTCCAGACTGTAGTTTTCAGAACCATGCTTAGACGGGCTTGCAGATCGTCGTCGTCGTTTGTCAACAGCTAAACACAATTTCCTAAGGAACCGGAAGTTGCCAAAAGCCGCTCACCTTTGCAGTAGCTGTGCATGGGCGCCGCCATAACTGACCTTCAATTTTTGTTTCCCCTTACCGCTCATTGACACTGGAAGCGGATACGCGTTCGCAAAGCGGTTGCGAACGCGGTTGTATAAAGATGCAGTACAATTGCACGCGCACTCGATGACATCAAGTGCGCGTGCAATTCTGCGGTAATGTATGATCTGCAGTAGTGTATGGGGCACCGTCACTTTCGCAAGTCAACGGAAAATGAGAATGCGCGCGTCACTGACCAGTTCTTTTTAAATCTCTTTCAGTGTCGATGGCGTAAAAGATGCGACCAGTCAGAACGAAGCGCCAGCCTACATAGACGCCTTGATAAAATTCTATACATCAAGGGGCTTTGAAGCCGTGCGTGGGCTGCTAACAGATTGACTATGCCCGAATTAGAAATGAAAGCTTACGCAGCTCTTGCATCCAATTTCTGCTTCACGTCGCGCTAACATCTAGAATGTATAGGCATCGAATCACCAGGAGCATCTTCAACTCCTTCTTTCGTCACTAAACAGAAGGCCGCCATTAGTATAGCACCTATGCCATTTTTCAGATGTTGATAGTGACCAAAGTTGCCAGTCTGAATTCTGGAAAGGGTCTATTTCCCATATCAAAGCAGCTTCTCTTGCAGTTGAGGATGATCGCGAGAGCTTCGAAACATTCGCGCGCAACGTATAATCCTAACCACTGATCTCTATGACAATTGCTAAATCGCGCTTCCGCGCACCGAAAATGAGCCGCCGTCGGCCATCTTACGAGATATGCTCTAGCGCTGTCAAGCCTAGACAGTTACCATGGTCACGTGGTCACGTAACAGAGACAACCGCCGCCTTGACAACGCTTCCGCGGAACCGGTAATATGGCCGACCGGTGGCTTCAATCGCGCAATGGGCTCGAAGCGGGGAAGCGCGATCCAGCAATTGTCGTAGAGATCAGTGATCCTAACCATTTCAGATCTGCGAAGAGAGGAGTTACCGCGATGAGACAGGGACAGAAAAAAAAAGAAGTGAAACAGGAGAAATGGGCGTTTTCAAACTTCCAGCTTATTTGCCAAGCTCAGTTTCATTTGTACAGGATTACGAGGGTGAAATACAGTAGTACCGAGCACTCAATGTTAAAAAAAGGAAGATGAATTGGTTCTGGAAAAGAAAAAAAGAAAAACGAGTCCGAGTGAATTTTAGGGCATTTTTATCCCGTGAATCTGAATATCACGTTCGTTTTCCCCGAAGACGTAATTAAAGGCGATAAAACACGAAAAACCTCCGTCCAGTCGTTACGTCATAAAATGATCTTTCGACTGCCAAGTGCGTGTCGCTCGAGTGGGAAGCGCGTGCAACTGCAAGCTTGCCAGGTGTGTTACCCCGCACTGACACTAGTCGTGACGTTACTTTTTTACTTTTTTGATAATAGCAAGAGAGCGCGTGCATAGGTTTGATGGGGGCTGAAGACGCGCAAGAGCGGAGATTCCGAAAACTTCTTTTATAACGTTAAGCTTTAGGAAGGAGGGGCTTCAGCGGTACTTTGAAAATGATTTTCTGAGCAACCTCCGTGCACAAAATTTAAAAAAAAATAATAATCTCAATGTTCGTGCTTCTAGAGGCCAAATAAAGACGATTTAGGTGTTTTCACTAAAATACAGAATAGCCTCAGCTTCCCTTTAAGAGGCGCGTGCTTGCGCTCGTTCGTGGAACACTTACGTTCACTCAAACCAAATTTTCTTGAGCCTACAATTTAAGTAAATGATAAAGAGTCCCTTAACTCCTAAGCGGGTGTGAACGGCGAGTTCGCAGAACGTTTGTCTAAAGACTGGTTTCCGCATTTGCGACGGCTGCGTTCGCAACAGCCTAAACGACAGAAACAACCAGAACATCCGAACAACCGTGACTCATGATTACTTCGCACAGCTACCTCTTGCATCGTTAGCCACGTTGTGTACGGCAAACACTTGTCCCGATGACCTTGTCGTTGCTTTCCGTTCCTGGTTGCTGCGGACACAACCGAGGCATGAGTGCGTGAACCAGCCTAAACATGCATTCTACACAAATCAAGCTTGTCGTTACTGGGAGATAACGACATGTCAAAGCTACCGGCTTAAAAAGCACGTCGGACTTGAGCCCGCGCTCCTGTGCAATTGAGACGTTAGATAAACTCCGACGCTCGTGCTATAGCAGCGTTGACGACGTAGTAGATCATCGATGAAACAAAGTAACGGGTGTTTGGGAGAAAAAGGAAAAACAACGGTGTTCTTCACGCCGCAGCAATAAACTATGCATCGCCGAACACACAATCTCCGCCCCAAATGTAACAATAGCGATCCGAACAAGATGGTAAATATAATAACTTTGCGTTATCTAATTAAGTCACTATGAACGGTTTTCAGAAATTCGTAATGTGAAAGTGGATCGCTTTCCTGGTTACGTTCGCCCATTCATTTCCATGTATTCGCAAACTCTGTTTACCGCCTTTTTCTCCTTGAAAATGCAGCGTACAAAGAAAGCTAAGAGATAGAGCTTAGGCTTAATTGCGTGACAGTTAAGAGTTAAAGAATACGTATAAGACTGGGAGCCCTTGTTAAGGCCGCAGCGGGGTCGCGGCGTCGGCCAATTGCCGTCTTCCCAAGAACACCCCTCCGCGGCGTCGCAATGCCAACTCGCAGAAACAATTTACCTGCTGCTTGTTGTCCTTGGAGTAAGGCAGCAGCGTGGACACATGAAAGATAATCTCGTGGCCCTCGTATATGGTGTACACAGAGTACTTTCCGGTCATGTCTCCTGGAAAAGAAAAAAAAAAACAGAGTGGCATTGATGATACCCTCCTTGAAGCAATATAAAAAGAGTGTGTGTGTTTAACCTCTCGACGCACCAGCTCAGAGCGCATGATCGCACATTGCTCCCCAGGATCGGGGGATCGGTGGCCGAGTGCGTTCATCTTATTACAGCTCTCGGAACATCTGGAGGCTAAAGCTCGTGCTGCACGAACCAGGAATCCTGTGTTCAATCCTCACCCCTGCCCGTTTCGATCTGGATGAGCATCGTACCGGCGTGCGGTCGTGTATCATTACTGCGTGGTGCACGTTAAAGATACATGGCTAGCGGTTGTACTCCACTGGCTAAATTGCTCATCTACAGCTGAGACACCAGACGTCCGCTGGGGCTGTCTAACTTTCCGCCGTCCAAACAAGCACACAACCCAATTACAGCTCCGCAGATTGAGTGGCAACGCGTGGTTTTTGTGCGAACGCCAGTATTATCGGCGGGGGACTGGATTTTAGAACCGATCTGGTTGAAACAAAGAACAGGTAAAAACAAAATAGTCAGAAGCTTTATTTGATTTGGGTTTGCCCGAAGCCAAAACAAGTCGAACAAGAAAGGCAAAAAGGAGACCGCACAGCTTTCTCTGGCAACTAAGTCAAAGGTTCTCGCGGGCGCCCGTGCGCTCACCCACGCCCAGAGCCCATCAGAGCCGTACACGCGGACTCTCCACTATTGAACTGCCACAGAAAGTTGAGCCCGACTATACACCGGTGTCCAAAATCCTAGCCCCAGCGATAAAAATGGAAAATATTTATATAAAATGCGGGCTCTTAAGAAGAAAGGGGCTGCGCATAAGACTTTTTTTTTTCTGTTTACAGTACTTTTGGCATCAGTGTTGCTCTTGGAGCTGCGTGAATATGCATTTCTGAAGTTCTTGCACTACATTATGTGCAAAAGTTTCTAACAAAAAAAAAAACAAAAAACAAAAAAAAACGCAGCCCCCTACTGTGTCATGGCGTAAGCGTAAACAAACATTGCGCCGCCAATGGAACAGAGCAGGCAGTAATCTATATTCTAGAGATTTTTAAGAGTTTGATTCAGTTTGTATTGAGCAACCTAATCTAGTTCAACAAATACCGTCAACTTGCCATTTATCGCCGCTTTTCAGTTTTTCAATCTGTGTCTTTCACCATCAGCGCAGTCGGCTCTCTCTACTGAATAAGCACATATTGTCCCGGACTGTACGTGAAGATGGGTTGACAAGCTATGATTGGGTGACGCGGCATCCACAGGCATCGCTCATCTGCCTTTCGCCCTATTATTCGACACCTTGCGTGTTTGAATTACCAAACACAACATACATACAAACACGGAATGATCAATGTTGACCTATCATATACCATGTATATGTATATGAAACATACAATTCAGCGAACGTAATTCTCTTAGGGTACAGGAAGGGCGCACGTGCACAATCACGTTCTCTAGTTATTTTTATCGCCGTAATTCCCGCAAAATACCAACCATTAGCTTTGTGTACGCTGATTATGAAAGTGGGGTTTGGTTCGCGCGACACGCCCAAATCGTTTGTGCGGCGCAGAAAAAAAAAAAAAAAAATGGGGAGCCCACAGGCCAGGCATTAGTCGCTGCAAGTCGACGCCTGGATCACCGCCCAAAATCGTAAACGTTTTGTGACCTGGACATGGCAAGGCGCCGCGGCTGGCCGATATTGGCTCCGGTGCCCGAAATGTGCGCGTCAGGTCGTGGAAACTGACGGGCTTGCTGGGAACATAAACAAACGCAGGGCACGTGACTCACCGTGATCGTATCATTAAACATCTTTGTACGCCTTTTTTTTTTCTTTTTTAAAGGTAGCATTGTGGGTTTGATGCAAACAGGAAAAACTATGCATGCGCGAGCTGACAATTTATTAAAACGACGAAACGAGAATTCCCTGATTCAAGTTTTATTTCGCGTTCCCTATTATTCCTCCCTAGCGTAGTGTGAGTAATATCGCGATTTATTTCTCGTTTATAGCCGGTGACAGGTTAGAGCTGCTCCACTTCCAGGACGCCCTCGCTGCCTTTCGACGGGCTCTGGCTGCGCGTGCCACGAAGTCTTACCAAAGGCAGAAAGCTTGTGCCAGAAGAGGCGCGTATACTGGGCTCTTTGCCAGCACTCTAAAATATTTCTGCGCGTCTACTTACCCGCGAAACACTCGAAGAGCCAACCTCAGCGATCAACTAAATCAGCTCAGCGAATGATGAGGCGGAACATCCGTTTAGACTTCGAAATTAGGACTCCGCTGTGGCATTACGCAACGCAAGCATGACGATTTGCATTGCATAATCCCACAGCGCAGACTTCATTCGTAGGTCTAAACGAATGTTCCGCCTCATCATTCACTAAGCTGATTTTATAGATCGCGGAGATTGGCTCTTTGAGTGTTTTGCGGGTAAGTAGACGCGCAGGCATTTCTTAGAGTGTGTCATCGACTGCATTTACGGGGATGCGACCGTAGCGCATCGAATCGAGATTCGACTATTTTGATCGGTAGAAAAATAGGTAGAAGAGGAAAAAACAGGAAGACAGGCTGCGTGTGATTGGTGTCTGCTCGATCTTTTGAGCTACGATCGCATTCATGTAAATGTAGCCTATAATGTGCCCAAACAAACACCGAGCATGATATATAGTAAGGAAAACAGAAGTGAAAAAAAAAACAGCAATAAGAAGAGGTTAGATATGGACACACGAAGCAAGATTTAAGAATGTATAAATATTGCAGTGTTCATCGTAAAAAAACGCGCCAAGAACAAATTTGTTCTAGAGACAGAAAAAAAAAAAAGAAACAACGGCAACAACAAATGGGTGACGCTTTCTTTTTTACAGATTCATACTTTCATGCGCGAGAGGTATATGGATGGTTTGTCGCCCGCTAAATCGTCGCGCCACTCGGCGAAAAAAAAAAGACAACACCAAAAAAAAGCTAGATACCTTTGACATCCAGGCCGCCTCTGTACTTGTCCCATCCTTTCAAGCGTACCTTCTCCCCGAGAAGATTGACAAACCTGTCGAACTCTCGGCTGCCCAGTTCTGCGTATGTAGAGTAAACAAATAACGAAAATAAAACAAAAAACAATACTTGATTTACTTTGAATATATTATGAGTGAAACAAACGCACCAGCAATGACACATCCTGTAAGCACCACAATAAAAACAATCGACAAGAATAGGAAGCACAGTACAAAGTCTCAATAACCTCTTAGGACGTACTGTCCGTTTTGTATTTTTCTTCCAGCTTGCCTGCGTTCTCACACTACTATTTCCATTCCGTCGTAACTCTATATCCCAGGATCGTGAAACAAGCATGCGCTCAGTAATGGTGCACGAAATAAAACAAACAAACAGTGACAACAAATGCAGAACTATCGTACCATTGCTGAACATCTCGTCATCGGTATTCTGGCCGGCTTCGGCATACAGGACGCCAAACTTGAAATTCACGGAACCCTGTGAAGAAGTAGTCAAGTGTTCACTTCTACCGCACCAAAGCATTTCACGTAAAAATATATATCTTTGAATTTCTTGCTGTTATATGAACGCAAATAAACTTAATTAGACGAGCTTGAATTGATTTGAATTGAGCATATCTCAGTCTCTCATATTTACTGTTTCTTTTTTTTTTTTAGGGAGTGCGTTGGCATTGGGTAACATTTTATGAAAGAATCACACATGAAGCACAGTACACGGACAGCACATCTTCCGTCAAGTGGACGTGACAAAAACATAGGTCTGAAAATAGTGTACTGTTTTTTTTTAGGGAGCACGTTGGTATTGGATAATTATATTATTTGCTGTACATGTTTTGTATTTTATCTGTAATTTTTTTTATAAAATATTTTTCCGATATTTAGAGGTATTTTGTTCACAAACTTGTCAGAAAGAGTTATTGCAGACATAACAGTAACAACTAGGAACAAGCTTTTCTGTGAGCTGCATGATTTGTAGTTTGATAATATATATGAAAGGTCAGTGAATTATTGATGTATCTGTTTCTTGAAACCGAAAAAATAATAAAAACAAACGAATTCGTACAAGGCTTTCACATCAAAGTACGAGCGCCAGGAATGAACTCAACAACTATCGCAATAATTGGTTCCTGGTGGCAAGGTGATTACTCCCAGGGTGCTACTACGCATGATACAAGCACCTATAATAAAATCGCGCAGCTAGAACAAATCGTAGTCAACAATGAGCAAACTCTTTCCCCTAAATGATAAAAAAGCATATAACACGTCATTAAAGCGCAACCACCTAGAATTTACGCACGCAAATTCCTACTCTTTTTTTTTTTTACCATGTATAAGAAACGGAACTTACAAGTAAATATAAATTAGAATGCGAATCCTGGTCAGGACTCATCTATGATAGCCTAACACCTAATATTTTTTTTTCTTTATTTTTGCTGCTGCGTTGAAAATTAAAAAGAAAAGTCAAAACATATGCAGACTTGTACACGGAGGCACACAGTTGGTGGAAATGCGGTGCTGTCTAAAGTAACCGCGACGTGCTCATTACATATTTAGACGACATTATAGAGAGACCCAAAACGAGCTTACCTCTTGTTCCTCCAATAGCAGAAGATCCTATCAACAAAGATGACGATAAACATTCGATCAGTTGTCTACTCAAAGAAGAGTATCAACATTCCGCCTGTGAACTAAGCATTATGCAATCGGGCCTTCCATCACTTAAAAATTTATTACGGCACGATCGAGAACACAAAAGCACGAGTAAAATCTAAAATATTCGGACGAACTGTTTTGTTCGCTTGTTTTCTTTCTTCGCTCAAACGCTTTTCTCAACGCAAGCCACGCGCCGTATAGACGCCCTCAATCTCTGATCGTCGTTTTGCCGAACACTTGCGAGACGAGCTACGAACACGACCCAAGTTAGAATTCGACACTCCTTCAGCTTCGTTCGAATGCCGCCGGCACACACATACACACACACACAAAAAAAAAAAGCATTGCAGTTTGATGATTGGAATTTCCCATCGGAGCGAGGGAACAACAAGTAAACAAATCATAAAAATATACAAAAAGACAAATAAAGCAACGTCGTTTCGTTCTTTAGATATAGAAAGGAAGCAACGCGCATTGAGCAAGAGCCACCCGCACTAAACTACACGCTTGTATGCACGCCGGCTAGGGTTCGAGACGCCGTCGGGCGGAACAGGCAATTTTGAGTTCTCTGGCGATTTCGCGTTCCCTGCCGTTGAAGCGTTGTTGAATGTGCCCGAAGCACACAATCCATCGGACATGGACGGGAACGTCGGCAGCGCCGAGGGTATGTCCCATGGAAAGATACAAAGCAGCCCCAAGTTGGGCACGGAAGTACATGAGAAAAAGAAGACCCCCTTAGGGGTCAACAAGTTAACTGGCTTGGGGCTATTTGGTTCCGGCAGAAGTTTATTGGTTCGCATTGAAACCAGTGTGCGAGACGACAGAGTCGAGAAGTAATGGACTGCTTTACTAAAATGAAAGGCTCTCATTTGAATAAAGACAGCTTGACTTAATCGGCCTCTCAAACTGCCTGACAGTGTTAGTTATAAAGAAGAAAAAGCACGATCTGTCGCACACTGTCCAAAAAGGAAACGACCAACCAATAAACCGACCAACCTAACAGACAAACAACGACGTCAAACAAACTTTGATCTCTTCAGTTGCCAAGGCACATTGCCGAGAATGCTTGCCTTTTGTTTTCTCTCAAAGGAATACTAAAAAAAATTAGCAGTGCTTTTTAGTTAACGTGTTGTACAATTGCAGTAATAATTACAAAAACTACGGTATTTTGGAAAACATTTTTTTTTTTGTTTTGTAAAAGGATGGTACTTTCAAGTAGAAAAACCAATAGAACCAACATTTTTACATCGCTGTGTTCTTAACTCGTCGAGCGAGTCTGCGGCAATCATTTGACTATGAAGACCTTGTGGAGTGATTGATGTAGAAGTTTGCAAGGTAAAGACGATCACGACACGGTGTTGGTGCTTCCAGCGCCTTCGGGCTAGGTTGTATTGATACTATGGCTCTCCTCCATGAACATTGGGGCACTGTTTTTCGGGAATATTGGCGGATCCATTCGCCCGGGGAGGGGAAGGCGGAGGGTGCGTGTCTCTATTTTTTCCCTTATCATACAAAGGTCAAACCGGCGGTATCTCAAACTGCTTGTTGAAAGTTACAAAATGCAGTGGGGAAGGAAATTGGAATAAAAGGCGACAAAAAGACGCATGTTTCGTTTTTAATTTCCAGGCTACACTCTAAAAAAAGCCTTTGCGTCCACTTTCTCGCACCACACTCGGATAGCCAGTTACCACAACATACGGATGCGGATGCAGCTCAGAGAATGACGATGCCGAAACACATGTTTAGAACAAAAAACGCAGTCTGAGTTGTGGCGTTAAGCAGTGCAAGCGTGACGTTTTCCATAGCTTAATGTAAAAACTCAGACTGCGTTTTTCGGTCTAAACATATCTTTCGGCATCGTCATTCGCTGAGCTGCCTCCATAAGTTGCGCTGATTGGCTCCCCGAGTGTTGTGCGAGGAAGTAGACACGCGGGATTTTTTTAGAGTGTAGGTGGCGCAAATCTACCGCCCGTAATAAACGGTAGAGTAGTTAACATCCATCCATCCATACATACATACATCCGGGTCACTTTCGCCAAAAAACCACGGAGGGAACAGGAAAACACACACACACAGCGTTATAAGGGAGAATTTAACTTTTTACTAAAAAAGTTCCTTCCCGTTAAAATGAAATTGACCTGCATAGTCTAAAGTTCTGCCTAGAAAGTTAAGGAAGGCATACATTTCAGTAAGAGATTACAGAGATTTCAGACGATGTTTATTATAGTTTAAGATTGGACATTAATATAGGAGTACTTCTAAATGACCCGTACCACTTTGGTAACGTGCCCAGAATTCCAGTCTTGAAAAAAAAAATTGTTTCATGATGCCAGAGGGAAAAACATCGCAGGATGGGTCCAGCGAAGCTCAAGCTTTATAGTCGTGACGACAATACATAAAAATAAACATTAAAAAAATCACGTGTTTAATTTGTGTCGAAAATTACTGCTAACTCTACACTGAGCTTAAATTGCATTTGAGTTGTTTTGCTCGCCTACAGTGCTTTGACTGAAGTTCATACTTATTTAATATGAAAAAAAAAAGAAGTCGTCAGAAAAACGGCGGAAAATATTAAAACCGACGGTCAGCGCCTATTTTGCAGTGTCCAAGTTGCGAATTTCATCCACGTGGGTAGCTATAGATATCGACGCAAAGATTCGCCGTTTACTGAGCATCGTTTGTTTTTCTTACTGCACAGAAGCAATCGGAAGTCGAAAGCAGAAGAGTCCAACAAAGAATACAAAAAAGGAGGCCACAATAGGGAGTATTCACTGGCGGCCATAGCTGTGTGCGCGAATGCTGAGCGCGTGCTGACGGCGAGCTTCTACAGTTCTTTTGCAACGTGCATTCCGCACCATCAAGAGTGTCGGTCTTAGCAGCCTATTGATGTGAGCTCGTTCTGAGCATGCGCTCTAAACAGCACCCACAAATATGGCGTCCAGTGAATGCTCCCTATAGGAACTTTAGCAAACCGCTGCCGTGTTCGGCGTACCGCACTATACAGGAGCATTTGAAGCATGCTTGTAAGCGCGCGCCCCGTGATCACGGTACCACCCGGGCGCGTGCTTAAAAGCATGCTTCAAAGGCTCCGGTAGTGCGGTACGCGGAACACGGTAACGGTTTGCTAAAGGTCCCTACTATGCGTAGATGCGGCAAGAAACGTTGGAAGATAAACCGAAACAGTATGGTCACTAACACCGAGAACGACAACCACATCCACGTTCTCTGAAGAGCGTGCAAGCGTGGGACAACGCGCGTCTTGCTTACATCCCACTGCGCATGCGCAATGCTAAAATTAACACGCCCGTTTTTTGGGTTTTTTTTTTTTTTTATATGAGCAGCCAAATCAGTTTTTAAATTTGCAGGCTCGTGCTTATGCGTTCGACAGGATCGGGACCGAGCTTTTGTCAACTTGACGTTTCGAGTGCGTCGTCATGACAGCTTTCCGTCTAAGTGCTTACGTTGCTATGGGCGCGCAGTTATGTCAGAATACGAAACTGGAAGATTTTCGTAGCTCCATGGGACAGGGTGCTTTCAAACATTCAATTTGACTAGTTGCGCAAGTGCCGCAGATACGCACATTCTACTACTTCAATAATTTCGATGGCAGGCATTTTACCCGAGAGAATAAAGGGGAAAACCATCGCTCGCCTGTTCGGGCGAACGGTATCGCGCTCTGTAGATATGAATTTTGTAAAAGCTCACAACGTGAACCACGCGAAGCTTTTACAGCAATATAGTAATTATTCAGTCATAACGTGGAAGTTAAACTAAACGCCCAAACGCTCGCCTGCTCGCACTAACCGTGTCCAACTCTGTATAATACATTCGTTATAATTCATAAAATGGATCATTTTATAATATTACGCCGGGAAACAAATCTTAGACCCCATTCACATTGCCAGCAGAAAGGTACTTTTATTTTAGGTACCTTTGCTATTGGCGAACTGATTCGCCGCCATTCGTAAGGTACCTTAGCGAAAGGTACCTCCCTGAACTCGCAGCCCCAACAAGCGGCCACGTGATCTGGAGCCTATTATGTACCGCCAATGTTTAGCATAGCCACGCACTGGGGTTGGAGACGCACAGGACACGCGCTGGGTTTCAGACATCGTTAGGGTTCGGCGATTGTCATTAACGCGATTGGGCACGACTCATTACCTGAATGTTTGTCGAGTTATTGATTATCGCGAGCTCAAATCGACTGCTCACGCAGTGTTCGAACCCAACCTATGAGCCGCATTCAAATATTGTCACTGGGGTATACTGCGACCTGCGAGCTACGTCATCCAGTTTTGCGACGAAGGAAAGATTGAAGAAAAACGCTCGCTTTTATTTCTGAAATTACACCGCAGCAAAGAGGTTCATCGGTCAAAGGCTTCGCGTGCGAGTATACTTGGGCCCTACTATTGGCGACGTGAGCGTTCGAAAGCGTCGCTGTGATCGGCCCACCACAATTGGCCAAATGCTGACTATGACGTCAGCAAAAGATATCAAATCGACGCAAATAAGAACAATGTAAGAACTTTAATTTTGACGGTGTGGGCAGTGTTACTTTGAGAGCGCTATCATTTTAGGCTTTCACCATGCTCATTACAGACACCATTGAACTTGTTCTTCACAAGGTAATGACGTCACGAAAGGTAAACAAACGAGGGCGCCACCGAAACATCTCGCCCAGAGCCGTTTATCTCGCCGCTAATACTTGGAGACATTTCTTGACAATGAAGCCAAAGGTATGGGTATTCGCTCGCGCATTTTGAGCGCCGATCACGACAGTGCACGCGCGGTCTGCGCGTCTTTTATGAAATGTCAGACGTCCCCGTGACCTTCAGTTTTTGTTTCCTCTTATTCCGTCCGCTTCACTTCATCATTACTAAAGCAGGAAACAAGTCATTGCCCCTTTAGGTGTTATTATGTCCTTCTCTTCATCCGTTTTATGTACTGTGTTCGAGTGTGTTTACCTAGAGGTGCTATCTGCGGATTCCCTAAAATGAAACAGCCATATAGAACGCACAATCGGAAAGGCTAGTAAAATGTTTTATTTTATCCGCCGAAATTTTAGATCCGCATCACGAAACGTTAAAGAAGCACTTTATTTTTATTTGGTAAGAACGATCCTTGATTACGCGTGCGGTGTGTGGGGACCCTTATAACGAATTCCTTATCAATAAACTAGAAAAAATTCAAAATCAGGCAGCGCGTTTTGTACTGATCCACTGTGACCCTTATGCTAGTATTAAAGAGAGAGAAGCTACGCTGGGATGGGAAACACTCAAATGTAGAAGAAAAAAAAAACTAAGACTAAAATTCTTCCACCGTGTCTTTCAAAACAGAACAGGAATTGATAAAGCCCCCTATCTTATGGGGCTATCATACGTCTCTTCTCGTTGTGATATTTTAAAGAAAGGTTGTTGTTCCCGCTTACAGGACTGACAGTTTTGCTAATTCATTGTTTGTCAAAACCGCGAGAAAGTGGAACGACCTCTCGGAAGATATTGTGTCCATTGATGATAATGACGTTTTCTTTTTCCACTTGTCATAATGTTTTCTAAAACCCTCCTACAATAATGCCCACAGGGCGAGGTAGGTACAATGTAAGTAAATAATAATAAATATGCCTTTGTAGAGGCTCGTCAACGCCCGCTTCAGGGGCTCGGCATCTCGGTAATACGAGAAGGTCGTCAATAGCCTCTGGTTCTGGTGCATGTTTAAGGCGTCTATCGTGACAGTAAAGTCGTGTGAAGTTAAAAAAAACAAAAAAAAACACATTCCAACTGAATATCGATGCACCGTTCTTTTACGTTTGCCCGAGCAATCAGGTTATATTTCGGTCATTTATTTATTTATTTACTGTCAAGGCCGAGGCATCACAAAGAGGAATTAGTAAAGCAAAGACACAAAAAAAGTAGCGTGAAAATTAAACTAGGTATTCAATCGCCAGCCTGTTCGTGCTAACTGTGTGAATAGGACTTTGTTATACTTCGTGAAGTGAACCACGCGACCAAAGCGCTACACTAGTATATAATCTATCCAATCATAGCGTAGAAGTTAAGCTAGGTGTTTAAATAACGCACTAAATAACGCGATACAATGTTGGACGAACATAGCCTGGAAATATATGTTGCCTATATGGCAAACAAGCCACACGACTTGAACGTACGCGAGTAAGTTATTAAGCCCTTTATCAAAAGCTAGAAACGACAAGAAGACAATATACAGCCTTTTGATCCTGCCAACGTGCTTCGATCTTACATTGTGACAGCGAAGATATACTCCCAAGAATCGCTCATAAAGGACAACCCCTAGTTCAGAGTAGATACTCTTTTATGATTGAAGGGGCTCTTATCCAGCTTCACCGTATTATAATTTATATGTTGTTGTCTCCCAGTAAAGAAAAACAAAAATAGCATTAGAAGCCGCTTAAGTTTTTGTAAAACTTCCATCACACACACACATATATATATATATGTACGACGACGACGTCCGCGCGCCACGTAAGATGGATCGGTTTGATGCGTTTTAACGGATTTTCAGAAATAAATGAAATACACACGCCCTTTTGCAACTTCCCCCGCAGTATCGATCCTTTTTTCTTTCTTGGTAACGGGCCCAGAAAAAAAAAAAAAGGAGGAGGAACGAGAAGGAAAAAGGAGGGGGGGGGGGTCATATCCGAGTCTCTCCAAGATGGCCTATCGGAGGAAAGTAAATATCGGCGCAAAAACACCGAGCCGTAACACTGAAACGACCAGGGTATAACTCGAAAATTATGCAGGCGAGCCCGACGGACCAACAACTCCCCATACACCGGTGAAATTTATGGCTTTCTTCTTTGGAGCCTCGCGACGCGAGCTTTAGTGGCTCGCGACGCGAACACGGGCGCGTGTAAGGTGCACGCGCCCACGAAAAAAGCGCGTAAGGGTTATTTATGCGATGGCAACCCGCCGTTTAGTAGCTCCCGCGTTGCAGCGCGCGTGCTTTTAGTTGAGCGAGATATACCAGGCCTGGGCGGGAGACTACCACTGAAGACTGCAGTGTTAACACGCGCCGTAAGAACACACGACTCTACGTGGTAGAGCAAATTGATACCCCTGTCAGACGGGCACGTTCAATGACATTTAAGTAAAATGACATTACAGCTCGGCCAATCCGCGAGTTTAATACGCTACGCTGCACGTGCACCCGCCACGTGCAGAACCAGTATCATGAGCTGATTCGCCGAGCGATGAATGACATTCGATCAAAATGACATTTACTTTCCCGTCTTACAGGGGTATAGACCTTTTTCGCAAGGTCGCCGCCATCTTGAATTGACGTCACTTCCAGTATGGGCGAAAACATTGTTTTGCCGTCGCCACGTCAATAGAAGGCATTTAGGACATAAACGTAGCCGTCACACATTCTCGTTTTATCTCCCCTCTATTTTTTTACTATTTGCAGGTTGAAACGTACTGATATTTTTTCGTCGCCCATACCGGATGTGCCTACTTGGCGGTCGGGGGCGAGAGTAAGCGGAAAAGGTCTATAAGTTAAGTGAACATGCCCTACCGGACGCGAGAAACGAGCTAGTGCGCGCGTCGGTAAAGAAAGCCAAGATATGCCCCGTTTTATCTTTACTTTGAGCCGAGAAAAGACTACAGTCCTGATGAAGTCTAATACGTCGAAGGTGCTTCTCCTTCTTTGTGACTCGTGCCGTTAAAACAGATTCGAAAGCTACGCACTGTGAACATCTACTCGGTGTTATGTACACTCTAAAAAAAGCCCGTGCGTTTGTTTTCCCGCACAACACTCGGAGAGCCAATCACCGCAACTTACGGAGGCAGCTCAGCGAATGAGGATGCCGAAACATATGTTTACACCAAAAACGCAGTCTGGGTTGTGACATTAAAGGGATGGCGAACCGAAATTCGTGTTTCAGAAAACAATGCAGGAGCAGTTGGCCGGGACACTACAATCCCTACAACACCACTCGTAAGGCATTATCTCGAATGAACGGCCGTATCTTTGGGAAAAGAGGTCAAGACTGAACGAGGCCGATGAGGCGCGTGACGTCAACATTCCTCTCTTCGCTTCGCCACCTCAAGGCGGCGAGGCGAAGACGCGAGGCCATTTCCCCTCCTTCTCGACTCTTCTAGCAGAAACGACGTCAACATATCTGTCAAATGCGCCTCCTTTTTTTTAGAAAAATACGACCATCCGTCCGAGATATCGCTGTACGAGTGATGTTTTAATGTTTGTAGCGTCCCGTTGCATACTTCTGCCACCGTGTTTTGTGGAATCCAGATTTAGGTTCAGCATCCCTTTAAGCAATGAAAAACGTCACGCTTGCATTCCTTAATGTCATTACTCAGACTAAGTTTTTGGGTCTAAACATATCTTTCGGCGTCGTCATTCACTGAGCTGCCGCCGTAAGTTGCGCTGATTGGCTCTCCGAGTGTTGCACCGGAAATTAGACGCACGGGCTTTTTTTAGAGTGCACATTAAGAAAATGCCAGCGAGTTAACTTCCTCGTGGAGCATGCGGAAAGCCACACAGAACGCTGTACAGCGGGCATCTCAAAAACGACGAGTTTGAATAAAGATGTCACCAGCCAAGACATTGATCTACTATAAAATTATAATCTCGTAATTTGCATTCAAACACTCCCATCTAGGTTGTAATTTCACGTGTATGTCAGCTGTCCGCGAGTCTTTAGCGTGCATAACGTTGTAGCGATTACCCGAACGAGCGTGCGTCAAAACCGTCTGAACGTGCAAATTGACGGGAGTGGAACTTATTGACGCACGATGATTGGTCCAGTCTGCACTTGAATTACCCCATAAAAGAGAAATGCAGTGAACTAAATTGATGATGAGAAAAAAATAGTCTTACCTTTTGCACGTCGGGTGTGAATATCTCCTTGGGACCCTTCTCGATCCTGTCCAGACTTTCAAAATTGCTGTGGAAACGAAGAAACAGACGCACCCCGAGTTTTATAGCGGGAACATTGAACTTTCGTGACCACTGTCCCCCCTACTCAACTCCCAAACACTTACGCAGAAAAGATAAATATATAAAATGAAAGTTCCTTTTTCATCCCCAGCATTCCTAGACACGGTCTCCTTGGGCCATCTCTTGGCTATTCTCAGCAAAACGCAGTAAAATAATAATTTCAACCAAACTACCGCAGAAATCCTTAAGTTCCCCGGAGTATCTATAGAGGGCACTACTACGATCTTAATTATTACCTACTTGAACCTCAGGATTCTATACTTTTTATTCCTGGGCCCGATATAGTATTGTTGCATTGGGTCCTATGGGCCACTTTGACAAAAGTTTAAATTTCTTCTCACTAAAATGAAGAATCGTAAAGCTCCCGATGAATATAATAGCTGCCTACTCATAGCACACACCGCAGTTAATATTTCGGTAGTTTAATTAATACCTTTTATTCCTCGAGACTTTCAAATTCGGCCCGCTTTTTGCCCCTGTAAAGTTAGCACACCGCCGTGCACCAAGAAGCTTGCGGCCAAGCTACCTTTACATAGGCTTATTGAAAAAAAAAAATTTGTACGATGCGCTTGTGACAGCATATTGACTAAGAATGTGGCGGTAATAATATGACTATATAATAATTAGATGTTTACAATCAAAATTTGTGCCCTGGATTTCAAATATGAACAATTATTATGTAGGATCAGAAACACTTGCACTGTATATATTTTGCTTTGAATGTGTACGTAAAGTTTTAGCTCGGTTACAGACACAAACTAACGAAATTCTTTCATGCGTGTATAACTAAAAATGACTAGAAATATAACTAGAAAGGCGCGCCGCTGGCCGTTTGATTGTGTGTCTTTTTAGCCTATCTTATTTTATTTATACATATATACGCGTATAAATAAAGAACACAACGACGACGACGTTGAAACGATTACACACCGGGCGACGGCGGTACCTCAATCTGAGCCCTGGTTCCTCGGAAGCGGCAGCTTCTACTTTGACTGGGCTACCTCCTTGAAGCCTGATCCTTTGATCCCAGTGAACCCCAGTGAGCAACAGCGCCATCATCTTCCTGGGGCTCCTTCATGCACCGATAGAACGCCGTGCCAGATCCCCATGGCTCGCTGCTGACCCGTCCAACCCACCTCTACAAACTCTGGACTTCTGCAAATCGGACTGCCATCCTCCCCAATACCAACAATCTATGTCGTCGTCATCATGCATGTATATACTCATCACATTATCATGTTCACTAGACGCGGCACCGCGGGCCTCCATGGTACGGGCTGCTGCCTTTCCGCGGTGCCGCGGCTCACCAGAGCCAAATAAATAAAGACTAAAAACAAAAGACTAAAGACAAAATGCTTTGCTGACCAACAGCCGGTAGCGCCTTAAAACAAAGAACAATAGTGTTTCCTCGTTAGAGGGCACACATTCCAAAACTACACCATACTTGTGGCGCACATCACTGAGGTGACATACGCAACACAGAAAATAACAGATTGTCTCATGAACGCAAAACGAGAAAATACACATAATGGGGGAGATTTTTTGTTTCTAAAAGCCAAATTCAGAAACCTAGACTAAACTAATGTTTGCTGAAACTCGGGGTACATCGCGTGTATCGTTTCGAAAAAGTATGAAACGAAAACGCCACACAACATATTTGACGTTGTTTCACATTTCGAGACACTGGCTTGCACTCGCGCACCGACCGCCGGCGCAGCGTAGCGCGCAGTCGTAAAATGTCTGCGACTGATGATGATGATGATAGCCTATTGCCCCCCCCCCCCCCCCACACACACACACACAAAAAAAAAAGAAGATTTGGCGCGGACCTTCCCTCCGTCAGTGCTGGATTCGGCACTGTAGGCGTTCTGTCTAATGTAAATAGGCGGAGCTGAATGCATTCCCCCTAGAAAAGTATTCGGCCAGACGCGAACGGTTAAAAGGTGGGAGGCCGAAGAGATGCATAGGAGAGGAGGTTCAAATAGCGGTCGCGCGTTTCAAATTCTCCGTTTATCTTGTTCTATGGCGCCTACATGTCTGTCTGTGGAGTTTGAAGACATCCATTGTTGCCCTGAATGTGCCAGCGCGTGACGCTCTCGAGCACTCGGTGCGTGACTTGGGCGGTAAAATGGCGTCTATGCATTAGCTAAAGCTACGCGCCCAAGCTAGAGTGTACTAGAAGGGAGGAGTGGGGCCACCGGAGTGCTACTTAGGTACCTCCGCATGTGGAAAAAACAGGCTAATCCAAGCCACTTCGCTCGTAGTGCCCTCTCGGGCGCTACGAGCGAAATGGTTTGGATTGGCCGTTGTTTTTTTTTATATGAAAAAAAAAAACGCCTTTCGTTTTAATCCCAAGCTCGACCGGCACGCTGGTCAAGGTCATAGAAACAATAGAACGCCGTACTATATCTTTATACAACCTAGACGTCAGTCGTCACGTACATAAAGTCACCGCGACCTGACTTCTTGTCACAACGCCATGCAACATCACGACGACGCCTTGACGTCAACGTCGTCATCGACGCTGACAATGTGCGTTACACGACATCAAGACTGCGTTCTGACGTCATACTGCGTTGACAACGACGACGATGTCAACGTTGACGTTGATGAAGACGACGACAACGTCACGGGACGTCAAGATGACGGCGTCCTTGTCAATGCGACGTCATAAGGACGCTTGATGTCAGTTCGTCGACGTCGTTGTCGACATGACGCAACTGGACGTCACGAAGACGTCCCGAAAACTTGAGGATGTTGACGTCAACGTTGACGTTAGCGATGACGTCAAGACGACGTTAGCGTGACGTCAACGTCGGCATCGACGACCACGTCCACGTCGTCCTCGAAGCGGCGCGCGACGTAATGACCGCGTTGCAACAGCGACTTGATGTCGCGTAATGGCGTCGTCCTTAACGCGACGCGATGTCACGACCGCGTCACAACGGCGACTTGATGTCGCGTAACGGCGTTGTCCTCAACGCGATGTCACGACTGCATTACAGCGGTGAATTGATGTCGCGAAACGGCGTTGTCCTCAACGCGATGCCACCACCGTGTCACAACGGCGACTTGATGTCGCGCAACGGCGTTGTCCTCAACGCGATGTCACGACTGCGTCACAACGGCGACTTGATGTCGCGTAATGGCGTTGTCCTCAACGCGATGTCACGACCGCGTCACAACGGCGACTTGATGTCGCGTAACGGCGTTGTCCTCAACGCGATGTCACGACTGCGTCATAACGGCAACTTGATGTCGCGTAACGGCGTTGTCCTCAACGCGATGTCAGGACTGCGTCACAACGGCGACTTGATGTCACGTAACAGCGTTGACCTCAACGCGATGTCAGGACTGTGTCACAACGGCGACTTGATGTCGCGTAACGGCGTTATCCTCAACGCGATGTCACGACTGCGTCACAACGGCGACTTGATGTCGCGTAACGGCGTTGTCCTCAACGCGATGTCAGGACTGCGTCACAACGGCGACTTAATGTCGCGTAACGGCGTTGTCCTCAACGCAATGTCACGACTGCGTCACAACAGCGACTTAATGCCGCGTAACGGCGTTGTCCTCAACGCGATGTCACGACCGCGTCACAACGGCGGCTTGATGTCGCGTAACGGCGTTGTCCTCAACGCGATGTCACGACTGCGTCACAACGGCGACTTGATGTCGCGTAACGGCGTTGTCCTCAACGCGATGTCAGGACTGCGTCACAACGGCGACTTGATGTCGCGTAATGGTGTTGTCCTCAACGCGATGTCACGACTGCGTCACAACGGCGACTTAATGTCGCGTAACGGCGTTGTCTTCAACGCGATGTCATGACTGCGTCACAACGGTGACTTAATGTCGCGTGACGGCGTTGTCCTCAACGCGATGTCAGGACTGCGTCACAACGGCGACTTAATGTCGCGTAACGGCGTTGTCCTCAACGCGATGTCACGACTGCGTCACAACGGCGACTTGATGTCGCGTAACGGCGTTGTCCTCAACGCGATGTCAGGACTGCGTCACAACGGCGACTTGATGTCGCGTAACGGCGTTGTCATAACGCGATGTCACAACTGCGTCACAACGGCGACTTAATGTCGCGTAACGGCGTTGTCCTCAGTGCGATGTCACGACTGCGTCACAACGGCGACTTAATGTCGCGTAACGGCGTTGTCCTCAACGCGATGTCACGACCGCGTCACAACGGCGACTTGATGTTGCGTAACGGCGTTGTCCTCAACGCGATGTCACGACTGCGTCACAACGGCGACTTGATGTCGCGTAACGGCGTTGACCTCAACGCGATGTCAGGACTGTGTCACAACGGCGACTTGATGTCGCGTAACGGCGTTATCCACAACGCGATGTCACGACTGCGTCACAACGGCGACGTAATGTCGCGTAACAGCGTTGTCCTCAACGCGATGTCACGACTGCGTCACAACGGCGACTTGATGTCGCTTAACGGCGTTATCCTCAACGCGATGTCACGACTGCGTCACAACGGCGACTTAATGTCGCGTAACGGCGTTGTCTTCAACGCGATGTCATGACTGCGTCACAACGGTGACTTAATGTCGCGTGACGGCGTTGTCCTCAACGCGATGTCAGGACTGCGTCACAACGGCGACTTAATGTCGCGTAACGGCGTTGTCCTCAACGCGATGTCACGACTGCGTCACAACGGCGACTTGATGTCGCGTAACGGCGTTGTCCTCAACGCGATGTCAGGACTGCGTCACAACGGCGACTTGATGTCGCGTAACGGCGTTGTCATAACGCGATGTCACAACTGCGTCACAACGGCGACTTAATGTCGCGTAACGGCGTTGTCCTCAGCGCGATGTCACGACTGCGTCACAACGGCGACTTAATGTCGCGTAACGGCGTTGTCCTCAACGCGATGTCACGACCGCGTCACAACGGCGACTTGATGTTGCGTAACGGCGTTGTCCTCAACGCGATGTCACGACTGCGTCACAACGGCGACTTGATGTCGCGTAACGGCGTTGACCTCAACGCGATGTCAGGACTGTGTCACAACGGCGACTTGATGTCGCGTAACGGCGTTATCCACAACGCGATGTCACGACTGCGTCACAACGGCGACGTAATGTCGCGTAACAGCGTTGTCCTCAACGCGATGTCACGACTGCGTCACAACGGCGACTTGATGTCGCTTAACGGCGTTATCCTCAACGCGATGTCACGACTGCGTCACAACGGCGACTTAATGTCGCGTAACGGCGTTGTCCTCAACGCGATGTCACGACCGCGTCACAACGGCGACTTAATGTCGCGTAACGGCGTTGTCCTCAACGCGATGTCACGACTGCGTCACAACGGCGACTTAATGTCGCGTAACGGCGTTGTCCTCAACGCGATGTCACGACCGCGTCACAACGGCGACTTGATGTCGCGTAACGGCGTTGTCCTCAACGCGATGTCACGACTGCGTCACAACGGCGACTTGATGTCGCGTAACGGCGTTATCCTCAACGCGATGTCACGACTGCTTCACAACGGCGACTTAATGTCGCGTAACAGCGTTGTCCAAACGCGATGTCACGACTGCGTCAAAACGACGACTTGATGTCGCTTAACGGCGTTATCCTCAACGCGATGTCACGACTCCGTCACAACGGCGACTTGATGTCGCGTAACGGCGTTGACCTCAACGCGATGTCAGGACTGTGTCACAACGGCGACTCGATGTCGCGAAACGGCGTTATGCTCAACGCGATGTCAGGACTGTGTCACAACGGTGACTTGATGTCGCGTAACGGCGTTGACCTCAACGCGATGTCAGGACTGTGTCACAACGGCGACTCGATGTCGCTTAACGGCGTTATCCTCAACGCGATGTCACGACTGCTTCACAACGGCGACTTAATGTCGCGTAACAGCGTTATCCTCAACGCGATGTCACGACTCCGTCACAACGGCGACTTGATGTCGCGTAACAGCGTTGTCCTCAACGCGATGTCACGACTGCGTCACAACGGCGACTTGATGTCGCTTAACGGCGTTATCCTCAACGCGATGTCACGACTGCGTCACAACGGCGACTTAATGTCGCGTAACGGCGTTGTCCTCAACGCGATGTCACGACTGCGTCACAACGGCGACTTAATGTCGCGTAACGGCGTTGTCCTCAACGCGATGTCACGACCGCGTCACAACGGCGACTTGATGTCGCGTAACGGCGTTGTCCTCAACGCGATGTCACGACTGCGTCACAACGGCGACTTGATGTCGCGTAACGGCGTTATCCTCAACGCGATGTCACGACTGCTTCACAACGGCGACTTAATGTCGCGTAACAGCGTTGTCCAAACGCGATGTCACGACTGCGTCAAAACGACGACTTGATGTCGCTTAACGGCGTTATCCTCAACGCGATGTCACGACTCCGTCACAACGGCGACTTGATGTCGCGTAACGGCGTTGACCTCAACGCGATGTCAGGACTGTGTCACAACGGCGACTCGATGTCGCTTAACGGCGTTGTCCTCAACGCGATGTCACGACGGCGTTACAACGGTGACTTGATGTGGCGAAACGGCGTCGTCCTCGACGCGATGGGATGTCACGACGGCCTCCTGAGAGCACCTTGGCGTCGCGTAACACTGTAGTCGACGGTGGCGTCGTGGCGTCGTCGTAACGTCACGTCGTCGCGTCGTGTTGCTTTGACATTACCTCTGACGTCAAAATCATTAAAGAAATACATTATAGCCCCTAGGGGGCTATATTACCCATATGACCTTGACCTGTGTCCCTGCTCGATCGCACGCAGCGAAGGTGGCGCTGCGATCGAAGTGGCTTGGTCCTGATCTAATCCTGACCTGATCGCTTTCCACATTTTGAAATCCAACTGAAAGCACGAGCGGAGCCTGTGGCTCGTCCGTCCCACTCGTACTTTCTAGTATACTCTACCCAAGCTGAGCGACACCAGATTGCGCGCGCTTTCAAATGCATAAAAAATGAATTGGGCGGAAAAAAAAAATATATGGCGGCACAGTGCGGCACTGAGCTAGATTTGAGACGCCATGAATTTCCCAGAAGTGGCGCGCGGCACGTGCCTCGAGCATTTCTACAACAACGAATGGCGCCACTTTTCCCAAGATAGAGGGGCTTTAGGTTGATACGCCACGTGTCGTGAGAATTGGGAAATAAAACAGCGTGTCCCAGAAAGCAGGGCATGATTCCAATGCGGATTGAGTAAACACAGGTTTTCGTTACGAAACGCGAGAGTTTTTGTTAACGCTGCGGTCCGGTGCTCATGCAAGATGACCCGCAACATGCTATATTCCCAACGCAAAAAAAAAGAAAAAAAAAAAAAGAACGTGGTTTGAATTGGCGTTGCCGCAACGTCTGAGAGGAGACGAGCCGTTACACGTGCTATTCTCGTTTTGTCCTTCGTTTTCCTGTTGCAGGGGAAGGGGGATAAGCACTTAATACACATAAACTGCCCGTTCTCACACACAAGCACAAATGTGCTATGTAAGACGTATTTATAAAGTGTAATGCCGACGAAACTGAAATAGACTATTCTTATTCTTATTATTATTATAATTACATCCGCGCAGGATTTTACAGCGGCGGCTCCAAACCGAGGTAACATGTAATTTTTGTCTTTGTTTTGGTTTGTTCAAATGAAAACAAGCTACCTCCAATATGTTTTAAAGGGGTACGGAAAAGAAGTGATGTGAGCGCGAGCTCTCTGCCCCTCGCCTCAAAGTCGGCCGGCGAGAAGCGCAATGCATATCGCGCTCGTGACGTCAATAGTTCCTGCACGGTCAAGGATACTGTTGTTGCAAGTCTTGCTGCTTGGTGGCGTCAACGCGTGACAATCTCGCCTATTTGCAACCCCAGCGAAACGAACGGCACCTAGCGAAAAAAAAACAACAACACTGAATTGACCGAAACAGGTCCTTTCGAGATTTCTGCTCGTATCTAGTTTCCGTGATTACATCTTGTCGGTGGTTCACGTGATAGAACAGTTGTCCCGGTGACTCTGCCGTAACTGCAGCATCAGCTTGTTCCTGCAGGTTCCTCTGCACAACCTATAGGCAACCGCGTGAACCGGACATTCCGCGTTCATCAGCGTTCATCCATCAGCACCGTGGAAGGACAGTAGGCAGTCCTTTCATCGCCTCCTCAAACGAAGTTAAGCATCTGGAAGCTCGATTACGCCAACATATGGCCGCAGGTTCGAAACGTGGAGGATAAGAAGCGGGGCAAAACATTTTGAGTCCAGTGCTTGCTTGCTGATGCTGCAGCGCTGTGCACATGGCACGGCACGACCTGTATTCGACCGCCACATTTGCCCGATAGTGGCGTCCCCTGTGGGTCGCTGGAGTCGCGAATATTTCGTTTCAGCTGAAGTCCAGACGCAGCCGACGCTACAAGCGCAAGCATGTGCTCCTCACGTGACTGAATTCGGCGAATAGAAGATCCGCGCGTTCGAGGCGCGCGGCGCGCTCAAAAGGAGGGGAACCCCGGGGCGCGCGCAACGTCTACTTTCCTGCAAGGCATTTGAGTGTGCTCCTCACGTGATCGGATCTCGGCAAATAGCGGCGCTGCGGCACGTGAAAAACAGGCGCGCAACTCTGGCTCCCGTAGGGAGCCTATACGGGAACGCTAACCTAGTTCGGTCTCGGTAGACGCTTGTAGTCCGGGTTTCAAGCGTGAGTTTCCCAACTTTATAGTTATAGCAACGTCGTCGTGTAAAAATGACATAGACGTATACACTCAGGTAATGGTAGTTATCGAAGTGGCCAGACTGAATTTTAGAAAGGGTCTACTCGATCGCGGCATCAGCTGATCTGTAAGGTCAGTTCACGCAGAGTGCACCCCTCGCTTGCATTACGTTATGTTACGGGTGCTTACGCCTGCCTTCGTCGCGAATCACACGGTCACTCGTGCTTCGTATGAATCATGGTAACAAATCCAAGGAGTAGTAAAACACGGAAGGCCATGTAAATGGCAGTCCTATCTTGACTCAAGTCACCGCAACGCAATCAAACGCAGTCAAATGCAACTGTGTGAACAGTTTCTTAACAGGTCGGTCGCCAAGGGTGCTGCAAAAGACCGTGCAAAAAAAGAAAAAGGTAAAGTATTAGTAAGAAAAAAAAAAGTTAAGTTGGAGCTTGCAGTTGGGACCATAACCGCGTAATGGGAAGGTGTTGAGAATGCGCAGCCTGCGCCAAACATCTCCACATTTGGGGACAAGTGGTGCAGCAGCGGTCGATAGCTGGACGCGCCCTCGACGGCGGAAAAAAAGAAAGAAAAAAAAAATGGGGAAAGTTGGTAACCAACCAAAAATAAAATAAGTTCAGAACGTAGAACGGAAGATCCAAGTGGTTCTGAAGAGGTTCGGTCCGCTCCTTAACTATGGGAGAGTTCGCTCCATTTTTTTCCCCGCTAACACCAAATCTAGCCACTCAAGCACTCTGCACTTCGTTTTTTTTTTTTTTTTTTTTACTGCTTAACGTCTATTCCTATCGCGTTCTTTTTTTTCTCTCTCTATATATATATCTATAGATTTTTGTTTTGCGTCAAGGACCTCCCTTTAGTGTGTAAAGACTCAGGAAAATTCCGCGAATCTCCAGCCTTGAAGATCCTGTTAACGATTTCGCCATGTTACCCAGCGAGCGTCTACCTCTTCATCCTACTAGACAGTCTCATAATTATTGGCGTCATTATGGGGCTTCTACCAAGAGGAACCTATTCGAAAAAAATTGGACATGGTCGCGGCGACGAAGTGCTCTTCTGCTAACAGGACAAGGAACGTGTCCGTGCATGCAATTTAGGACTGTATCTACTTTCCTTCTCCAATCCCGTCCCCCCCCCTCCCCTCCTTTATGCTTTGCGGAAAACACCGTATAAAAATTGAGCCAATTCTCACCTTAGAATGGACTTCACCGTCAGAGGTTTGCTAGGCGTGTGGGACAGACATATCCGTTGGGCACCCTGAAAGTACAAAACGTAAGAGTTTTATGCTCACGATATTAGTAACGTGTCCGAATACATTAGCATACACTCTGTGGATATCATACATATGTTTTGTCTCATTGTGGTAACTTGTAGATGACGTATTGTCGATTATACCTTAGTCGCAATCAACTACAACGTCGTGATTCAGAGAGCAAACCATTTTAGACGACTACTGAACTTCGGTTCAGTTCTTATTTCAATATAACAGGCATCGGACCTAGCAGAATCCTCTGCATCCCCTACCGAATAAGTACCCAGCACCGAAATCGAGCGCGGGGTCTTTAAACACTGGCCTATCTTATGAGGAGGTGTTTTGTTCCAAATAACACGCCCTTCGTTACGAAATTGGCTATAGAAATATATAAAGTCAAAGACTCACTAAGTAGCGAGGCAGCGAGCGCTACGAAAGAGCAGGGCACGTTAACATAACTGGGTGCTAAATATAGTAGGTAAATTTTAACCGTTCGACAAAAATCCGCTGGTTTGTTGAGGCTTCGCCACAGTGCAGAGGTGCGAAAGAGACAGCCGCTCTTACAAATTTACGCGTCGAAGCAAAATACGGCGTCCTGTGTTCCAGCATCTACTTTATCACGACGGAGCGGTTTTGTTTCCCTGTACTCTTCGCGATAACAAATCCAAATATCGCAGACAACTCCAGCGCCGAGTTTGCTTTCGATTGGAAAGATACGGCTATGAATGTAATGTGCTTTCGTATTCCGTTTTCTTACCGTTTTCCTCCACAGTATGGCCCGGTACTGCTGCAATCCTTGTGTGTTGGAATCAGCCAGTACGACGGATAGGAAAAAGACCGTCTTCTCCGCGTCTGAACCCACGTAGTTTTGGTGCACTGTGGTCCGAAAGAGAAGAAAGAGACACGGAACCATAAAGCTTGCGCACGCTCAACACATATTTTGTATGGAGCAGCGACAACCGCTGTAGCAGGGAGCTCACATGCAAGGGAAGCATGACCCTATATCTTTGAAGCCACAGAAGAGTGTAGCAAGATAACTGTTTCTGCGGACAACGTGAGTAAGAAAATAAATACATCTGTAACTTCTTCGCTTTCGAAAACCTCTTCGCTATTGTATAGGATTTAAAATTTTGTCATTCGTCTGTAAGCATTGAGGCAACGTACAAATTAGCTGTATGAATGTTTGGACAGCAGAAAGTTGTCATCTTCGAAATGTCAGTTTATGTCTGGGCCATTGAAGAGTTAAGCGCGAGCGCTTGTCTATAGTTTTTACACTAAATCATGAAGCATTAGATTTACGTTTTTAATACCCTGGCAGAAAGTACCTGACTAGATAAGGCACGTACCGTCTTCTGAAATGTCTCGAACTTTTCCAGAATAAAATGTGGGCACGTTCGCAAATATAAGACAAATATAAGTAGTATTTGGCGCCCTAAAGATATAAGGTTCTCTCTTTCTAAATATTTTTTCCTCTCTCTGTTTTTTTTTTGTTTTTTTTTTTTTGTTCTTTGCACACGCACATTCCAATATGTTTCCCATCTCCGTCGAAGATTCGTTCCGTCCCATCCAACATTTCCCCGGGCACCTCTCAATCTGTCATCAGGCTCAGAACGGCTTCGAGTATGTTTACAAAACCTCGAGGGGCGAAGTCGACGGAAGACACAAAGCAAAAAGCAAGAAGCGCACCGCTAAAAACCGAGACACATCCGCACGCATACGCCAATTTCAGATCGATCGCGATGCGAAAGAAAAGAGTTGCATTCGCAACATTTCGACCATTGTCAGCGCCCCTATTCAAAGACCAAAACCCAAGCAGACGCCCGCAACATTCTGGGAAATAAAAAAGCAAATCCTTCCGCTACGGCCTGTCTTAGAGAATTCAAATCTGATGAGACCGCAAAACAGACGGACATATTAAAAAAAAAAAAAAAAATCTCAAATCAAAGCGCGCTCTACAAAAAAAAAAAAAGAAAAAGAAAAAGTCACACACGCACAACAAAAAAGAAAAAAAAAAACGGAAAAGCAAACAAGAGCGGGAGAAAAAATAAAATAAAATAGAATACGGATATTTAGAATTTTCTATATATACGTCGCAAAACATTCAAGTATTGTTGTTGATAATGCTGCTGGTGCAGCTAGAGGCGTTGCCTCAGCGGCAAGAGATATCAACGAAACGTCACTGCGGCATTTCGCGAAGTGTTGCTACGCCCCCCGAAAGACGCGACGAAATAACGCCCCAAAACCGTCAGCACGGATCACGCCGATTGCCAATCTGACAGAACGCGCGTCGCGACCGCTTTCGAGTCCGCCCATCGGTCTTCAACGAGATTACACACGCGATTCCCTAAACTTGCCACCACGATGGTGACGACGGCACGACAGTCACAACAACTTCTACAAAAAAAAAATAAATAAAAATAAAAAAAGAGAAGGAAGTCGCCCCCGCTCCCCTACCCTGGCCTGAGGATATATACTTTGCGCAGTTTGCACGCCATTGGCGGAGTCATGCGAGGAACTCAAAAAGCACCCGCGGGCGCACTTCTATCTTATTGTTGTGGATTTTGTTTCTTCGTCCCCTTTGACGCCCATTGACGGAGTGCGAAACTCTTTAATGGCAGGGCTAGGGAACCACCGAAAATTGCCTTAGTCGTCGACAGTTTCCACGATGCGCTTGAGCGTTTGAGGCTTCGTTTGTACGTTTACGCGTTCCTCTTTTGCTTTTACGTCTACTTGATTGTCTTGAGAGGAAAGAAAGTTTCGGGCGACTGGGAAAGAAATCATCAGCTAGGAACATTACTTCCGTTGCTACAAATGTCATGTCTGTTTTTTTTCCCCCAACTTTTTAACATGGTTAGAAGAGCTCCTGACTGTCTATTTTTTAAATGATGTCTCACGAATATATACATATATATATATATATATATATATATATATATATATATATATATATATATATATTTGAAATTTCAGTCATCAAATAAAACGGAATAATATTTTCGTTCACTTTTATTTTTACAGTTATGACTTGTGCTCCTTTAAGCAGCGTAGCCACACCCTTAAATTTGTGTATACGACCTAACAATTAATAACATGTATAGGGAGAGGGTACCGTACATTTCATCGAACGCCGTTTCATCGAATAAGCAGACCTTTCATCGAACGCCGATTCATCGAACGCCCTTTGATCGAATCGCTTGACGCCGTTTCATCGACTTTTACTTCACCGAATTTCGGAGCATTATAGTGCGTTTTAGATTATTTACACTCTTTCGTTTGAGTTGTTTTCACGCTGCTGTCGAATCACCAAAAATAAAATTACTACCCCTGGTCACTATTTCGCCAGACGTTTGGCTACTGAATCATAAAACATAAAACTTGAGTGGGTAGTAAATAGTGTAGGAGGAGCGGCTGTACTCCACCACATACTATGTTGTCTATTCGTTCACGCATAATAGGTAGATCGGGAAAGGACTATAACTATTTTTTTATGCGCCTTTTTATTTATCTATTTACAGGAGTTTTCATTCTATCCTACGAGAAGCTTTCGTTCTAATAGCAAAGGTTGAAAAGCCGGTAAGTCCATGGTTCTGGCGATAACAATTAACAAAGAAGAAGGACGCGTCATTTTTTTTTTTTTCTGTTTTATGCGACATGGATACATGTCATTGCTTCAAGGACGACTTTGTGCTTAAAACAGAATCCGACTCTTCTAGAACGTGGATACACCCTTGAAGAGACGTAGCGTCGTCACTGCGCCCGAAGATGACAGTTTTCATCAAATGTAAGGGCGGTGCTTCTGTTTATTATTGGCTACATCAGCAGCACAACTCATCAGTTACTATGAAAGACAAAACATGTAGCGGAGGAAAAAAAAAAGAAGTTTCTTATTATTAGTTCCCCTCTCTGTAGAAAAAAAAAAAAAGGTATGCTATTCTTACGGTTTTAAACAACTATTTCCTAGATCCAAAAGTTATACTGCTTAACTAGGCGGCGTTCGATGAAACGGCTTCAATGAAAAGGCGTTCGATGAAATAGCTAAGATGGCGTTCGATGAAACGGCTTTAATGGAGAGGTATCCGGACCGAATGGGGAGAAAAACTCCCGCGAAGCAAATAAACAATAACTAAATTACATCCTCATTACGTAATGGTTCACTGAATTCGCGAGCACGACCGAATTTCAGCCCAAAAATCTGAATCATAGTCACGACATGCTTGAGAATACAATGTTTCTTTTTATGTATTTTTTTTTTGTTGTTGGCAACATTACATTTTATTTGATAGTAGAAGGTTGCAGCCACTGAACCACACGTGTACGTCTGTTAGGCATAATGAACGGTTTTCGTTTGACAAACAAATATGTCCAGCACTTCAGGCAATAAAGATTTAGCCACTGTGGGACCGATATGAGGAATGCGATTCGACCCTCACGCGTTTTGCGATGAAGAGCGGAATTTGTTTTCGTTTTACAGAGACTCGTAACTACGTTTAAAGAAATACAAGCATGAGAGGTGGAAGCCACGGAAGGCAATGATCCTGCGAGCTAGCTCGTGCGGTGGAAGCAGCTTCCAAAAATAAGAGATAGCGGTTGGAGCCCTATGTGCCCGATACCTCAGTGGCGCGGGTGACTCACATTTGCGTGCTGTGCCAGCGAGGCAGTCCTCAACACAGTCCTGATAAAACAATGGGTAAACGAAAACACGCGTCCACACGACTGACTTTGGCAATGAAGGCCATCCGATGTGAAATGAATCGAATGGCTTATTGTTACATGGGCTTGTACGGAAGCAAAAAGGTGCTAGGCTATATTTATTGACGTTTATGTTATTTAAACCTGCAGGACCATGAAACATACACAAAACAAAATAAATGCCAAAAATTTGCAAAATAAACATAAACAAGTCCGAATAATTCGAGCTGGCGACATATATACTGTACTGCCTATAACTTAAATAAGAAGAAGCTACAGTGCACAGAACATTGGTAGTTTTCTAGAATTCCTGAGTCTATCGGCTTTAGTTCCTACTTATAATTGATAGCGACATCCTCGGCTAGTTCATAATCACAAAAAGCTAAACGTACAAAAAAAATACAAAATTGTAAAAAAAAAAAAAAAATTGAGACGACGAATTTTTTAAGAAATACTTCTGCCATTTGCCATGCTAACTTTGACTCGAACGAACAATGTAACGAAGCGTCAGCGTCATGTCCACCTTCCAAAGGAAGAAAAAAGAAAGAAGAAAAGTTATATACGGCCGAATATTAGAATCGATGCAGACAATACTCCAGCCGGGTCCCAGAGACCTGCCCGAGGAGTATGTGCGGTCCATCGAGTCCACGATGGGCTCTTGAACACCGAGAAAGCAACCGTGTGGTCCAAAATCAACGCTCGTGGATATCAATGCCGCCGGCGCGTACGTGACGGGTTTATGTAACCCGCGCTCTAATTGCCCGGTGACAAATATACTATCATATTATTCTAGGCTCACCGATTATTCCACAAAGCAAACAAAAGAAAAAAAAGAACAGAGAGAGAGCGATAGACAGAAAAGAAGAGAGTGCCTTTAACGGATACGATGTGGTGATTGATGTCATAGTTTAAAGGGAAATTCTCTAGAGAATTCGGCGTCCTTTTTTTGGTATTTTATGTTAGGGGCGACACTCAGAGAATTTTAGTCGCGAGGTTACACGTCATTTTCCACCAAATGGTAATTAAATGGACTACTGGCACGCGCACTGCACTTCGACGCTCCCCAAGGCGCTGCTGCCCTGTTGGTAACACTGACGATGCCACTGATAATGGTTAGACGATACCCGAGATGATTACAATAATTATAACACTGAAAACGATGGTAATGATAGAGATGAAGACGATGT